AGCATGTAATCATTCTTATTTCTTACAATCCTTTCCACATAATCCTGTGGAGATTTCCAGTATACAATTTCCTTAGTGTAGCTTAAACCAGGTGTTCATTATTACTTATTGATTTTCTTCCGCAAAAATCCCCAATGTATCTCCCCGATCGTTCTGGGTTCCTAGTCCAAATGGTCCAACTGCATGTTGGTCACCTAATTTAAACACGATATTTCAGATGACTCCAAAGAAAAAAATCTAACGCATTAAAGTTTAAATAACGAACAACTACTCTATGTGGTGCTGGAATAATTTGGTTATTTAGTTAATCTAAATACTTGTCAGCAGTCAAGTTTCCGTTTACGAAAAATGGCCTATAAGCCTATTTTGAGCAATTAGCATCTAAACATTTAACTGTTTTAGACGATGGCTATGTGCTTTATGAATCCAATGAGGATTCTTATGTAAACAATAACTAGAGCTATGGCAGTTAACTGTTCAATTTCTACAAAAAGTGGTCTCATCTGAAAATAATACATTAGCTGCAAAATGTTTGTCATCATTACGAATGTATATCATTGGTTAGAAAAATTATATACGTCGGTCAAAATACTGTCCGACAATTCTTGAACCATTTGCATCTTATACGGATCACACTTTTCAATTTTCAATATTTTTCTTATAAAACATTGACTTATACCATGGTTCGTGTCAAATAGTTGTTGGAAGTTTGAATATGCTTCTAAAATTAATTACACATACATTTTGTCTAACTGTGTTCGGGCCATTTTACGGCTGTCATTAGCATGATTTACTATGATAAAGATTCTGGTATTGAGCAATCCTTCAGTATTATTAGACTATTGACTGAAACTATGCCGTAGTGGAAACTATGCAAAATTTGTGCACAACGCGGTTGAATTCCCATTTTTCTCTAATATTTGTGGATGGTAAATATCTGATCTATAGTTGATCTTCCAGCACATAAGCCGCATTTGGTATGAGCCTAGAATATCTCCGAATATGAGTGAGTCTCTTTAGCAAGATAATTGATAGCACTTTATATGATGAATTGATACTATTTATATGAATTGTTCTTTGTTTCTTTCTTATATATGGGAATTAAAACACTCCATTTATTCTCTGGGCATTTTCTGTTGTTGCCATACTCTCAGAATGATGTCATACAATTTTTGGTATAGAAGGTTTCCCCTTTATTTAATAAACTCTCCATTTATGCCATCATTTCCTGGTGCTTTATGGTCTTTTAGAAACGCGATCGATTTTTAGAGGTGTAGAAATATAATTTGGTAACACTGTTTTAACTGTTGGCCATTGCTTTACGTGCTTACAAGATCCAACTCATTCAATCATGCAAGAATTGAAGGTACATCATTAAACAGCAAGGCGTAGATTCGTAGATTCAGTGAGTGGGTACAAAACGAGATTGCTGTTGATTTCGATTTTCATAAGCGAATTTTGCTTAGCGACGAAGCTCACTTTTGGTTGAATGGCTGCGTCAATAAACAAAACTGCCCTATTTGTAGTTTAGATAATCATTAAATGTAAGTTGAAAATTGTGGTTCAATTTAAGAATACACCAGTGGACCGAGTAAAACAGTTTACCTATCTTGGAACAATGGTAACGAACAATGAGATCACTCACAAGAAGTAAAATGTAGAATAGAGAAGGCTAGGAGGGCATTCAACAACATGACCAAACTGTTAAAAAGACATAACCTTTAACTGGATATAAAAGTAAGGCTCCTACGATATTATATCTTTTCGATATTATACTACGGAGTTGAATTCTGAAGACTTAAGCCATGGAGAAAAAATTTGAAGCCTTTGAGATGTGGCTATACAGAAGAATCGTAAGGATATCATGGACGGACAAGATAACCAACGACACTGTACCACGAAGAATGGAAAAGAAAGAAGTGATGTATACGATTAAAAGAAGAAAGTTAGAATATCTCGGACACATAATGAGAAACGACACTAAATACAGAATACTGAAAATAATCCTTCAAGGCAAATTATTCGGAAATCGAGTAATTGGGAGAAGAAGAATATCATGGTTAACAAACCTGAAGGAAATGGTTTTTCCACAACAACAACTAATCTATTTAAAGCATCAGTTAATAAAATAATTATAGCCAGAATGATTGCCAATATTCGAAACGAATAGGCTCCAAAAGAAGAAGTAAGTTGAGAAACTATTACATCCAGAAAAACTGACAGTTAGGTATGCTTTATGGTCTGTGAAATCATTTCACCGTACTTCTTCAAACACGACGCTGGCCAGAACGTTACATTCAATGGTGACCGCTATAGAGCCATGATTACTGCCTTATTCATTCCCCAATTGAACAGCCATGACGTGCCGGAGCTGTCGTTTTAATAAGAAGGTGCAACATGTCACACAGCTCGTATCACAATTGATTTATTGAAAGAAACGCTTGGTAACAAGATAGTGCGATTTAACACTGTTTCATTATTTTATGTGGAAATATGTAAAGGTGCTACACCGATAAAAATGACACGATTGACCACTTGGAGGACAACATTTGCTGCGTTATTGCCGATATACGGAGGCAAATATTGGAAAAATTGGACCTCCTGATTAGACTACGTCAGGGCCAGCCATGACAGTCATATGTCAGAAATTATATTTAAATTATAATGCCAAAATACTATTTTTCGAATAATTCCTTTTCAACTTCTATACCTCTAAAAAAGACACCCTTTAACTTCTTGCTGGACAAATTCGCACTGCTTTTCTGAGATATGTAACAAGATTATCCATTTTAGACTCTCATTATTAAAGGCAAAGGGAAACTTTGTTTGCGTGGGAATATATGCTTCTCTACGATAGTTGCTGTAATCTGTCTGATTTTTTTGTACATAAAAAATAAAAGTGAACATTTCACATGGCATTTTATAAAAGAAAAAGAAAGAAGAATGTTTTCTTCCTCTAGTTATTCTATCTCAAGCCTTTTTTTTGTCCTCAAGTTCAGATTTCAAGTTATTATTATTGTTTTTTCACAACTTTTCTGCTCCATATGGGTCTCTTGATCTTTATTAAATCTCGCAATAATTCTTCCACATACATGTTACCATAACAAATCTCTCCGAGTTTGTAACGACTATTTTGCTTACCACAGGGTAAGAATATGGGGGGACAAGATTGGGCAAACAAAATAATCGAAACAAGTGCATACGGCACTCAGTTGGTTGTTGGAGAGCTGGGTCGTGGATAAGTTGAAGATATTGGGGGTTGATTGGGGCAACTACACAAAAGGAAATAAAAGGTACTTATACGAATCTATTGGACAAACAAATTGAAAATAAACTGGAAACACCTCAAGAAATTTAATATAGGGCGCCACTTGAGGTGCCTAATTATACCTATTACAACCACTAGTTGTAACTAGGGAAATAATTATAGAACATCAAAAATATAGAAAAAAATATCTTTTTCAAATAAAACTCAAAATAGATCAGAGAAACAAATTGAACGTTTATTCTTGTCTCAAACAAAACAGATCAAAAATACATATTATAAAAGAAACATATCATATAACATAATACAAATAACAAAAACTTACATGTTCTTTGTTTACTATATTATGGCCAATTAGATTATCAAAAATTAAGGATCCTTGTTAATGAAAACATATAAATTTAACCTTATATATGAAATATCGTTTCTACATAATAATCAAATTAAAATTGTCATAACAAAAAAACAAATTAAGCTTGCTGTCAGGTATCACATTTAATTTTGATGACAAAGAACAAAAGTATTAACAGCATAACCATACATATTACAATTTTTTTATTTGTTATGAAAGCAATTATTACTTTAGCCAAAAAATATCTGTCTTTACTTTGAAAAATTAATATATTGAATTGTTACCTTAAAATTTACATATTTCGTCACTCAACTTAAAAAAAAACTTGTTACATCTCTGACTGGAAGCTACTTGTACAAATCCTCTAACTGGAACACAGGAAACATTTCTATACTCAGGAACGAGGTTGGGGCAAACAGATGACACACGAAGCTGGTGGCACACCCTATGTACTGCTTTAAAATTTTACCATGTTCTGGTATACTGCATAAATCCTTTTAGTGGTTTCTCTATGCTAATCCGTCATGTTTACGGAGAGTCCACTGTTTACAGGTCTGATTAATTAACCCATTACACAAAATTACCGGCTGTTTATGAAAAATGCCCAAGTCCTTTCAACTCGAGCTGCCTTACATCACCTGCCTACCTCGTTGCTCTTTTCAATCTCGTCGACTCTATTGTCACATGTCTGCCCTGTTTGAAATCTCTAAGTCGACCCTTTTGCTTCGTTACATTTTACCAAATCTAGCCAAAAATTTCCCTTCCGTCTTACGCTAGCCTGTCGTCCACAAACTTAAAACAAACAATCTTCCCTTGTTATTCGTTCCTAACGATGAAAGACAAATAAAACCTTTTTTTATCAGGGGGCATCATAAATTTACATAATACAAATTAACAAAATAGCACGTATTTAAACCGGAGTTCTACCTGACTTGTAACAAAAGGTTCGATATTTGAATCTAAACACAGACAAAAAACATCTATATTTACTTTTGAATCGGTAGAAATATACGCATTATTGATTATTCTAACCGGAATATTAGGGGGACTTCATGTAACATAATACCTCTTTGGCGACAAAAAAACTTGTTGTTTCACCTAACATTGCAACACAGAGATAAAACATATTTCCAGCGTTAATACGCATTTAAAAATCTCGTCAAAAAAAACTTGAAATATTATTTCGATTGTTTTCTTTGGTAAAAACAACAGGAGCGTACTACAGAAATCTTTTATATACACAATAAATAAAAAAACGCTACTAAGTTTGGTATGGTTTTATGCATTTGTATACAGAATGTACTATTATTGTGATAAATATGAGAAATAAACTATAACGACTTTTTGTCATTAGATACTATAATTTATGTTTTTGTTTTACAGGTGGATGATACCACTAATAAGGAGGGGGAATAAACAGAATTTAGAAATAAATGACTTGTACAAAACTTTAAAGAAAGATCAATCAAAAAAATTAACAGATGCTTTAGAAAAAAATTGGGAAAAACAGGTCGAGAAAGCAAGGAAAAAGGGTGGAAAACCAAGTATACTGATGGCTATATCGAGGACATTCGCTTTTGAATTTATGATGTACGGAATACTGTGGGCTATTCAAAATGTAGTTCTAATGTAAGTAGACTTTTCAATTTTATAGATTTTTTTTTATAAAGATTAATGTTGATTGTTGTATCTGTTGTCTGGGAGTGGACAACTGTAGGTAGTCTTTATATACCGCTTAAACTACTGGTATAATATATACAGGGTGAGTTTGTATATGGAACGCGATCGGTATATTACGTCATTTATTCTCTTTTTTAAGTTCATACGGACCTTCCCATTGTCTTTACAGCTTAAGAGACAGCTTCGAAGACGTTGTGGATTATAAGATACCTACTTCAAAGCTTTCACGACTCTAATATCCGACAGGTAGAGTCTGGCCCACAATTTCATTCGCGATTGAGCGATAGGCTATTAGGAATAAATGAATGTGCTGGTCCCAATTTCTTTGATGTTCTGATACAACTTTGGACAGGTGTTTACCACCACCACCATCGTTCGATTCATTCTTTCGACCATTCAGTCTGATTGAGGATACAGGGGTGCTGTTCTAATCATTATTGACACCAATCAATTTACAAACGTTTTTTAAAGAGGGTTGATTTAAAGTTTCGCCATTGGTCGGAGTGGATCTTCAAGGGAACACCAAATCGACTAAAGAATTCTTTTACAACTATCTTTGCAACGGTAGCATTTTTTAAATTTAATATCGCATAGGCTTCAGTCAATTTCGTACAATAATCCATGGCTAGCAGGATATATTTATTTGCATCATCCGTTTCTGGAAATGGACCTGCAATGTTAATTGCTACTCTATTCATATAACTATCAACATTGTATTGTTTTTATGGGTGCCCTCTTTTTACCAACTGGAACTATTACTGTTGCACACAGTTCACATTTCCTGCACCATCTTTTTACATTATCTTTACAGTGCACCCAATAGAACCGTTCTCAAACCTTTTGCAGAGTCTTCGTAATACCAAAAGTGTCCGCCTAATGCACTCGGACGCAATGTTTCTGAACTTTACTTTTAGGTATAATCAACTGAAGCTTAGATTCTGTATCATCATTCTCAAGGCTCTATACAGAAGATCATCTTTTAGTACTTAGCAACTATATTGGCTTCAGTGAGTCTTGACTTATAGACGACATGCACTAATGTCTTGCCAAGTAGGTCTCTCACTTTGATCCATCCAATCCAAGACTCGATGGCTTCGTGAAGTTTGACTAGCTGATGATATTCCAAGGCAATAGCGAGCACTTCATTTTAAAACTTTTGGTCTTGCTAGTCGTAAAGTTTTTCTGTAATTTACTCTCTTTCAACCATTGTCGAAGATATCTACAGCAATTTCTCCAAAAATATTGTCTGGTGCCTCTGGATCAGCTAACCGTACTATACGAGCAACATTTGCTTCAAACTCTTACACATTTTTACTTGCTCGTTGAATTCTACTTCTTAGTTGTGCTTTGTAGACTTGTTGTAGATGGACATCTCCGTAACGTTTATTTAGTCAAGTGAACAAGGTCTACTAACCTTTTTCTTGGCCCTTAGGAATCCATCTTAGGATATCCGCAGCATCGCCTTGTAAAACAGCAGTCAAGGACACAGCCTTTTCTTGTTCTGTAAAATGATTGGCTGTCGCAATGGCTTCAAATTTTCTTAGGTATATGGACCAAGAAGACTTCCCATCAAACGGTGGTAATTTGAATCTCATATGATGTGTCGTTTCGTCTCTCGGTGATTCTTCTTTTACTACATGATCTAAAACTACTACATTAACTGTAGTAGCACTTTCGTATTGGTTATCATGCTCTCGAACTGTATGATATTCTCTTCTACCTTATCGAATTTCCTAGAAACTTCTTCAAATTACTCTCATTGTTCTGACTACATACTTCTTTAATTATTTGAGAAGCCTCTTTGAATCTTCTAGAAACATTTTAGAATTTATCGTCATTTTCTAGAATTTTCCCCAATCATTAGAGAAAACATTTTGAATTTTCCAATAATTATTTTCGTTAAAACTGCTTCTTCTGCTGATTGAAATAGTATTTGTCTGGGTCATTTCCATTCTTGTTGAGAACATTCCTCAGTCGTTCTTGGAGGATCTTCTTGGACCAACTGCAGTCTTCAACGAGAATCTTTTAGTTGCTCACGCAACTGTTTTACTGAAAGTTTTACTAGCAGCATATCTTGGTCAAGCACACACATACTTTTTTTAAATGTTCTTTTGTACCAAGATCACTACAGAATAATACTTTTCAAAAGTTTAAAAGTCTTTTTCAAAAGTAACTGCTAAATTTATTTTTAAATTAATAAATTATCTCACACCGTGACACTAACTGTAACGTTTTTACCAATAAAATAATCTGTTCCAATTTATGTAAATTTATTTATTTATTAGTTTACAATACGATGATATTTTAACAACTAACTAACTATTATCAGCGCTGCTTATATATACAAGTTATTATTTTAAGTAATTAAATATTTAAATTGTTACTAGATTAATACCATCTTTTATAGGTCTCTAAAACCAGTATTGATTGCACAGTTGATAGAGTTATTCACTGACGACACTTCGACCAGATTCAGAGAAATGTATTTCTTCAGTACATCATTAATTTTAGTGTCACTTTTAATTGTATTCTTCTTCCATCACACGAATTTTGGTCTACAAGCAATTGGAATGAGGATACGAGTTTCGACTTCATCATTAATCTACAGAAAGGTAATTTATATTGTAGCTTACGATTAGTTAATAATTCATTATTACTTAAGTTCTTTTAATATTTTTTTTAAGACAGAGACGTCTTTAGACACCTCTATAAAAAACCAGCGTTTAGCTAACCCAGCTGATAACACCTGGTATGGGTACAGGTGAAGCAAAAGCCACTGGTCTAAAGAACAGATGAGGAGATTAAAATTACTATGATCTAAGCAAATTTAAGCAGTTTGCAAACCCTGGAGTAGACATAGAATTCTAGGTTTACGGATTACAAACAATGTTAAGATGTGTTCAAAGAGCAATGTAAAAAAAAATATCAGACATTTTCTGGATTGCTTTTGATATAGCGTTGTTTTATTTCTTCAATCATAAGAAATTCTATTGTTTATAAATAATCGATCATTATTTTTTCTTAAAATCTATGTAAGCCGGTTTCTTTTTGGAATGAATCATTCTCTTTTTGATATTTATGTTGCAGTTTGAGTGATAATTTAAATATTTGCTGGTATGGAGCAACATTTGTTTATTGTTTTTGTAGAATTCTGTTTACATATCCTTTATCCTCCTTTGTGATTAATACATCTAGGAAAGGTAGTAATTTTTGGTTTGTCATGGTAAATTTGATTGATTCTTTTTTAATATTGTTGATTAAAAAATTATTTAAGATTGAAAATTTATACAAGAAGTGTACTATAAATGAATATAACTTGTCAATTTCATAACTTAAAATATTGTATAAAATTCCGATCATTCATTTTACTTATTAAATTTTTTGTAGATTACTCGGTTAAATCAAAAATCTTTGGGAGAAACTGCTACAGGACAAATTGTCAATCTACTTTCAAATGACGTCCAACGATTTGATATGGTGGTACAACCGTTACATGCGTTGTGGGTGATGCCCCTTCAGGTGGCCATACTGATGTTTATAATCTGGAATCAAGTTGGAATTTCGTCTCTATCAGGTGTTATTTCGATGGCAATTATTGCTTTGCCCGTACAAGGTATGTTTTTAGTATAATAATTTTTGCTTTGTTTATTCAGTTTTTTTTATTTTTAGCCCTATTTTTATGATTTTTTAGCACACTTTATAAAAATTTATAAATTTTTTTATCATAAATTTGAAACATCCTGTGGAATAATTTCGTTAGAGGATTTTTGTAAACCCTTATTTTTCGGTTGTAACCATGTCTTCTAAGTAATATGTTTTTTGTTGCATGTGAAAATATGGTTTGGTCCTTTTGAGAAGCGAAATGACTTTGCCACCCACAATGTACGACTTTTCCTAATATTATCATTATCTTTTGAATTAATTTGTAATACGACGATGGCGGCTTTGGTGACTGATATCGAACGAATATCATATCGACATCCCAGAAGCACTCTAGGGGAGAGTTGTCCAAAATGGGGACGCTAGTGTATTTTTAGTGATTTATAAGAAGTGAATACTGTAATTAACATTGTTTAAAGTGCAATAAAGTAAGTGATTATCACTTTAACACTAAATAAGTTTTGGTAGACTTATTTTATTTATTACTTGGTCAAAATCTAAAACTATGAAAAAATGTAATTGTCCCCGTTCTAGACCACCGTTCGGGTAAAATGGGGGCCCCATTAAAAACAATGGATTTTTTTTATTTTATTTTTTTATTTTTCTAATTTCTTAATGTAATTTTAATTACAATAGCACACATTTTAAGTTTATGACAAATACTTATTACGCTTGCGACAGTATAAAATATAGACACAAAACACTTTTAAATGAATTTTTTGTGAATTTTTAAGTGTTACGTCTACAGAAATCGCACAGGAAATAGTCGTCTTCCTATCTGCATTTGTACATGCGTCGTGGGCCCAACCAGAGCATCCTAGCACTGAATCAATCCACCCTTCTTTGTCCTCAGAAGCAGAGAAAATCTCACTGCAAAATATGCAAGCCTCATCACTGCCCCCTTCGTCAGATGAGGAAGACTCGTTCTGGTTTTCGAACTTCATAAATAAAAAAGTCCTTAATTGTGGGTGGCAAATTTATTTGGCTCTAAAAAATCAACTAAGGCATATTTTGAAATGAAACAAAAAACACAATACTTAGGATATATTGTTGCAACCGATAAATAAGGTTTTACGAAAATTTTCAAACGAAATTATTCCACAGGATGTTTCAAAGTTAGGATAATAAAACCACGTTTTAATTAACCCAGTACAATAAGTCTTTTATACAATTTTATAAAAAATCTGACTATACCAAATTAAAATTTATAAATGTATACATAGTGTGCTAAAAAAATCATTAAAATATGGCTAAAACTAAAAAAATTTAAATACATTGTATTGTGTAGTGTATTGTAAAGATACTTATGTTTAAAATGATTTAATGTTTCATTTTGGGTATTTTAAATTTTCACCATTACAAAATAATTTATTTTATAGGTTATATGGCCAAGCTCATGGGTCTTCTTCGACAAAAAGTTTCCGGAAAAAACTGACACCAGAGTCAAACTAATGAATGAAGTAATATCTGGTATACAGGTGATAAAGATGTATGCGTGGGAGAAACCGTTTGAAAAAGTTATAAAGAAAGCAAGATCAACAGAGATTGGTGATATAACAAAAGCGTCCTACTTGAGAGGTGTATTTTCTAGCTTTATCGTATTTTTGGATAGAGCAGCTTTATTTTTCACTGTTCTGACCTACGTTTTACTAGGTAGGTAAACAAATAGATAATAGTAAAAATATTAAACTGAAAGAACATGACAATGGTTACATATCAATATTATCAAAGTGTGTCCAATATTATCAAATGCTTCCATTTTTAAAAAATTAAAAATTAGGATTAATCTTTTTTATAGATTAAATACAAAAATATAAACATACTTATAAAAACCACACTATGAATAATCATGTAAAGCATAGGGTGGTGACCAGTTTTTTAGTCTGAATTCTAATGCGTAAAAATAGCCCCCCCTCCCAATATACGTTTTTTTTTTAATTTCCTAACAATTATATTTTCGTTGATACAAAACAGTTTTACAATTTTCGAATATTTTTTTTAAATTAAACATATATTATCTAGCAACGCCTGTGATGTAAAACATTACAACCTATACATATGATAGAAAACTAAAAAAACAGTAAGCAGAACGTATTTCACGGTTATAAAACTTCATTCAAAAATAATATTATTTATTATTGTTAAAAATTTTATATTAGTCGTTAGTAAAAAAAATCATTTTAAAAATGTACAATAAAGTAAGCAAAATTATTAGCAATTAAATTTTCAGGTAACGTTATTACCGCAGATATAGTTTTCTCTTTGGCCCAAACCTTCAATATACTACAAACAGCCATGGCCATTTGGTACCCAGTAGCAATTAGTGTCGGAGCGGAGGCTCTAGTTTCAGCTAAGAGAATTCAGAACTTTTTAATTATGGAGGAAAGAGAAGATGCGTCTATCGAAAAAATAGATAAGAACGGTATAATACTATCTAACGTGTTTGCTTCATGGACACCGAAGGGACATACTTTAACAGATATTACATTCCAAGTTCCTCCAGGTACTTTGTGCGCTGTAGTAGGACCAGTAGGTGCTGGAAAGAGCTCTTTGTTACAGGTAAATTTTTGAATAAATATCTTCAGAAAATAATGCAAATTTTATAATCAATTCAAAGTTCCAATTTTCTAATTATAATATATTTAATACTGATTTTTTATTGGTATATTATTATTATCTAATAATAAAATAATTGTAATAATTATGTTTTAGCTACTTTTGGGAGAGCTGCCAGTAAAACATGGAAGAGTTCAAATGGGAGGAGAAGTTTCCTACAGTTCGCAAGAGCCTTGGCTTTTCCAATCAACTGTACGGAATAACATTCTCTTTGGAAGTCCCTACGAAAAACGCTGGTATGAAAAAGTAATTAAAGTCTGTGCCTTGGAACGCGATATGGAACAGTTTCCACAAGGAGATAGAACAAATTGTTGGCGAAAAGGGAGTTTCACTTAGTGGAGGACAAAGAGCTAGAATCAATTTAGCAAGAGCAATTTACAGACAAGCTGATGTTTATTTAATGGACGACCCGTTGTCTGCAGTTGACACACACGTTGGACGACATTTGTTTGATCAATGTCATTCTTCACCATTTAAGAGGTAAAACTAGAATTCTAGTAACGCATCAGCTACAATATCTGAAGAAGGCTGGTTTAATCGTTGTACTTAATGACGTAAGTATTTAGTTTTTGTTAGATACTATTTATGTTTATAGGAATAAGCTTTAGTAATAAAGTATAGTTGACAACATTTTATGTTCTTGTAGGGTAAAATTGAGGCTCAAGGTACCTTTGAAGAACTAATGGATAGTAAAATGGACTTTACAAAACTCTTAGTTGCTGCCGATGAAACTGGTGACAAACATGACAAACAAGACGACGCTGATCAGGAACCTGTAGAATTTACAAGAAAGTTTTCCAGTACTAGAAGATTTTCGGTATTGTCCGACGCTAGTGTAAGTTTTTAATTTTATAGTATAAAATGTTAATACCTTATCAAGACCTTTTTAAACTACTTTATATATATTTATATATTATATATATATATATATATATATATATATTACGTATTAGGTACTACTTTGGATAAACAAAAAAAGAGCTTAGGTACAGATTATTTTATTGTACATCCAAAAAAACCGCATGTTATAGAAAGTATTTTTTCCGTAACCCTTTAAGATTTGCTTCAAAATAAAAATATAGAATTCAATGGCGCTTGAGTATTTCAAGATGGTGATTTTTTAACAGTATCGTGACTTCCCATTTTCTAACGCCACACTCAAATCATCAGATTATTAAAATATACACTGTTCTTTATATAATTGCAAAACATAAAGCAAACCTTGCTTGGGTTTCCCATACTGTAAAATATATAAACTATCTTTGTATCTTGTTAATTACTGTTGCTTATTTTTTATGTCTCTCTCTCTTTCTCCTTTCTTCTCTCTCTATATATTTCTCACTTTTTTATGTAGGCAAACTGTAAAGCAGCAAAATTCAAATCGAGGTTCAGTCAATTCTTTTATATTAGTGACTTAAGCTTTTTTTTTTAGATTACCTCAAGAATTCCTGCCTAATAAATATCCCCAAACTTATCCACTAATTAAGGTCTTCTGTTTAATACAGAGATTGAACTTTAAGTCAGTTTAACTTTTTTTTAACTGTGCATAATATACAAAAACATAAAAATACGTATTTTAATTTATTTTAGAGCGAAATATCATTGAGTATGCGTTCAGTAGATATGACTTCGGATAAACATGGTGAAGAGGAAGAGAGTGTCGGTGACGGAAAACCATTTAAAAACTATTTGTTTGCCACTAAGAACCTTTGCTTCGTTGTTTTTGTACTGACTTTAATGGTTCTGGCTCAAGCTTTTAACGTAGGAGTAGATTTATGGTTAACATTCTGGTAAGTTAAAATAATTAAAAAGTGATCTGCCACACAATCCTTTCACCTTCTTCCCGGTTTTCCTCTACTTCTCTTTTCGTCAACTTTTAACAGCTGTATTGTTTGTCCTGATCTAGAAATAAGATCGAGAATAGAACAGGCCAGAAAATCTTTCGAAAAAATAAAAAAACTGCTTTGTGATTCTCGAATAAAACTCGAAATTCGACTACGTTTATCAAAATGCTATGTCGACTCTTCTATATGCAGTTGAAACATGGACCCTTAAAACATCAAACCGTAAATAAATTGGAGGCCTTTAAAATGTGGATCTACCGGAGAATACTCAAAATTTCATGGACATCGCATAACTCAAACGAAGAAGTGCTGCATAGAATAGGTAAGAAAGAGAACTTTTTAACACAGTAAAAGTTAGAAAAACATCATACCTAGGCCACATACTGAGAAATAATAAGTACCAATATGCCCAACTTATAGTGAAAGGAAAAATCGAGGCAAAGAGAGACCTAGGAAGAAAAAGACTGTCGTGGCGCAGAAACATCCGACAATGGACAGGGCTAAATTTTGAACAACTAATAAGAACAGCTGAAGATAGAGAAGAGTTTAAAAATTGTAGTAGCCAACCTCCATTGAGGAGAGGGCACTTTAAGAAAGAAGATTGTTTGTCCCCTATAATAGCTCTTATTGCTACGCCTGATGTGCGCAAACCATTGAAATCTTTATTCTTGAATGGTTTTTGAGACTGTAGTCACCCCGACTCTTTCCCCTTAGCACATCATTCCTCATCTTATCCCTTGTAGTCTTACCCAAAATCCACCATAACCTTTTTTATTGTAGCTACCTTTATCTTATTTTCTTGAACCTTTTTTATAGGCCACACTTCACCACCATACACTAACGCATACCTCAACATACTCTTGCATCTTTCTTTTTAGCTCTTCTACATATCTGTAGGAAATTTTTTGACCTTGTGTCCCCTTTTTCGTTATGTATAAGTAAAGGTATTTACTTTGTCCTTCACATTGTACTTTTTTTCCAAACAAGTCAATGTCTCCACCATTTCTGTTCTTTCTAACCGCATATACTCCATTTTCGACCCGCTAATGTTAAGTCTGCATTCTTCAATACCCCTTCTTCAACCCTCCAACTTTTTCTGCAGCATTTATTTGCTCTCCTTTACTAACACGATATTATCTGAAAAAGGCATTGACTAAGGAACTCCGTCCCTTACCTTCTCTATCAGTACATTTATAACTAAATCCATAACAAGATTAAGAATTAGATATCCTCGACCAATAATATATAATAATGTAAAATAACCGAATATTGTCATGTATATATACTGTTTTTCTAGAATATATCTTCTGTTTTTCAGGACTTCTCAAGAAGCAATACGCCACGAGAATGGAACAATTGTTGAATCAACATCTCCAACTATAGAGATACTTCCATTACATGATAAAAGCAACTTCAGCTATTCTTATAATAATTACAGTTACATACCAGAGAATACCAAAAAATCGGAATCATTCAATATCAATGATATATTTGATAATGTTAATGTAGACGGCCAAATAAAAAAAATAATCAAAACGAATTGGGCATTGTATTTCTATAGTGCGCTAATAGGACTGGCTATTGTCTTGACGCTATCTAGGTCGCTGCTGTTCTTTAAGGCTTGCATGATGGCTTCAGTTAACTTACACACTAGTATGTTCCATATGTTACTAAAGGCCCCGATGAGATTTTTTGATACAAATCCCAGCGGAAGAATTCTTAATAGATTTTCCAAAGACATGGGTGCTATAGATGAACTTTTACCTATGGGATTTTTAGATGCCATGCAGGTATTTATAACTTTAATTAACGTTATTAGAATTTAACTTAATTTAGAATAGTGTTTTTGTTTAAAGTTTCTTTTGATAAAGTTGTAAAAAGGAAAAAGCAGTTTACCCTGGCTGATTATCTAATTTTACTAATCTTTTACGACCTATTTTTTCGATCTATTTCATGTTTATGATGTGCATTGGCTCGGCACGAAACCTCTTCAATGGCCAGTAGGCCTGGAAATACCCAAATCAACAATCATAGCTGTGTATCTATATGTGTGATTTTTAGGTCAAATGAGACCTGTTTACAACAGCGACCTCTCCGCCCCTATGATCAAAATGTATAAACCACCCTCCTCTGTTCCGACGATGCAGGACTGTTCGCCTCAGAAACAGTAGACGGAACTATAAGAAGCAGCTCTATATTCAGTAGGTCTTAAGACCAACTTGACAAAGTCGTCAAATGGTGCAAACAAATGGAGAGTCACTCTTATTCCAACCAAGACACAAGCCCTCCTGATGGAGCTCTACGAATCTAGATTTCTAGATCCGTTTCAGAGATCAGTCAACTGCTTGGGCGTTAAATTTCAGAGGAACGTCAATTGGGAGACTGAGTTTAATCTCACTCTAAATAAAATGAGAAGAAGGGCTAGACTCTTGGGAGCCGTATCAGGCAAATCTTGGGGGACACAGAGCAAAACTCTTCTTTACACCTACAAAACTTACATCAGACCTATTATAGAGTACAAGGCCGATCTTTTTGTTACTAAACAACCGCCAAATAAATGCCATTATCACCACTAAACGTAAGATCTTAAATTTTCCGTCGGCATTTATCCACAAAATGGCGAACATATTAACCATTGAGAATAGAATCCAAACTCTCGACAAGAGATACGTCGTTCACCATAGCAAGCTCCAACATCAGAGCAAGGAAGTCTAAAAATTTCTTGCCACGGCCTAGGGCATATACTGACCAGGCACCCCATTAGGAAAGCTCCCTTTCTTTCGGCCAAACTTTTCAACTTGGCTGGAAACGAACATCCTGATGAGGACTTCAATATCCTATAAGCGACGTCAAAAAGATAGCATAAATAGACAATCTACATGCCAAAATGCTCAATCAAAACGAGCTGTTCCTATAGTATAGCTAGTAACTCGCGAAAGGTACCCCCTTAGAATAGTATGGTATGGCTATCAACCTTCCTCAACACGGACACCATCAAGCACCACAAAACATAACAAAACAACATACATATTGACTGACTACTACTTTTTAGTAAGCCACCTGTCTATCTATCTCCGCAAAACAAACACAACTGCAATCGCAGACTAGCGTCTGCTCTTACTCTCTCTCTCCCAGGCAAGGGAGCCCACACATTGAAAAGGCGTCCCGGCTAAACTAGGTATAATTTTCGCTGTTTATTCATTTAAGTCAAATGAGGCAGTCTTCTTTTGACTCCCACAAAGTTGCTTTACCTTTGGGAGCCTTCTGCTGGGACTTCTCTCCTCTTTTAGCTCAATCCTTAGACTCTTGACTGGTTTTCTATATTCATTTTTTTTTTTATTTTCTAATGTAAGCAAAGATAATAAACCATAAAAATGAACTCAAAGATACATTTAACGCGGAGGATCCTTTATGTCAGGCGGTGTTGAAACCCTCTGCAGAGCATTCAAGAAAAAACAGAATGTCACTAAATTCCTTGACCCGTCTTACTAACGCCTATTTACCTGACTTAAAGGCGGTTACAAAAGATAGTGTCCAGAAAAACAGCTGTGCAAGACAGACCCAATCGAATGGAAAAATAAATACCTAGGAATCGTAGTGAATCATAGCAAAACGTTTACATTACATGTAAATGCGACAATCTAAAAAAAAGAGATATGGCCAGAACCAACATCCGCCCACAGAAAGAAGAAGTAGATTACCAATCAAAACCAAGTTTAGACTTATCAATAGTATTATAATACCTATAATGTCACACGCATCTCTTGGATGGGGATATACATATAAAAAAAATATTGCATCTCTATACGGCGCTTCTGTACGGAAACTGTGTTGCTCATCTGCGAAGTTTATGAGCACTAATCTAATGGACGTAAGAATTGTCTTCTTTTTATAGAGAAATACCCATTCACTATGGATTCAAACTCACGAATCACCGAGCTAGTTATCGGTAAGTTATCACTCTACCCACTGCACTATGGTGTCAGTTTTAAATCGAGATATTCAGAGAATGAATCAAATCCTGAATAAAAGGAATAGAACAAACCACGTCTTAATTTGCGGAGATTTAAATTCCCGTGTAGAAAATCTACCAATACCTTTCAAAACTTTTAAATAATTGGTAATATTAAAATAATTTATTGGTCATCTGTGATCAGACTATAGTTGTTATCTATTATCTATTTCTATGTTCCGTACTAAAGCGGTACGATAAGTACTTAGCCTACAAAATAAAAACGAAAGTTTTAGAAAATTGGCAATTTATTTTTAACCTAGTCTAATTTTAGCTCATACACTTGATTCAGCTATGCTTCAACGTCTTTAAACCCATCTGAAAAATACGTTTGCTCGAGGTCTGTAAAGTAGGTTTCAGTGGCGGCGATGACCACCTGATTCGACTTTAATTTCTGCTCGGCGAGTGCCTTTTTCAAGTTTTGAAAAAAAAAGAAGTCATACGGACCCAAATATAGAGAATATGAGGATGGGGTAACACTCTACCATTTTACGTTGGCATAGTGAAAAAAATACTTCTTTCTTCGCTAAATGGTAGTTTTTTTTAAATTCGGCGTCGAATCGGCCCAATAATTCGGCGTCGAATCGGCCCGTAGTCGTTTTGCCATTCTTGAGGTAGTCATAGCCGTAGATCATCCTTTGTGAATCCCAGAAAATGGTAGTCATCACCTTTGCTACCGATATGACAGTCTTCGCCACCTTAGTAAAATAAAACGACGTAGAAACTCCTTCGAATTATGCTAAAATCACGCTAAACATTGCTCTGAAGTAATATACGGTTAATGTTATTGTCCGGAGAGTCTTTGTCACGTTATCCTCCGTGGTAGCCAATTTGTAGCGCCTGGGCGTGGCTCATCAAAAATCGACGTGCGACCACGTTGAAACTCGTTAAACTAATTTTTGAAGGATTGCCGTCGACTAATAAGAGTCACTGTATACAACATCCAAGCTCTTTGATTTCGCTGTCCGATTTGTCTTGCAAAAACAAGAATCGAATCACCGACTGATATTGCTCTTTTTCCATTTTACTAAATCAGCGGACACGCCCGCTTTTATACGCAGTCGAAACAAAACTATGAGTCCGATTCGGCTAAAATTTTGATATTAGCCTTTTACAAGAATGTATTACATGATAGTAGATTTCTCTTGAAATAGTGACGCCATCAGGCGGCCAGACTAAGTACTTATCGGACCGCCGACGTAATATATTTGCAAGACTTCTGTCTTTTATCTTGTCGAAAGCTTTATTAAAGTCAACTAGATATATAGACTAGATTAGGCATTACAGTTGGCATCTCGACAGCGTTCTATGAGTGTTTTTATCTTTATCGTAAATAATGCCTCTCTAGTACCAAAGCCTCTTATAAATCCAATTGGTTGCCTGTTATTCTATTGTCCAGTTTTTGTAGACATGTTCAAATGTTCATGTATTAGTGCCAAAAAAACTTTTAAAACATCAAGTTGATCGTTCTAAATGGTGCATATTTTATTCCGTAGGGTTTTTGGGTTACTACAATAAACAAATTAGCCACTTTAAGATTTCTATTAATTCTACTTACTAATATATCATAGGGTTACTTTGTAGGTTAGGTAGTAGTCATACGATTTCTGTAGGTATTTCATTAGGTCCAATGGCTTTATTATTTTTTATAATGTTTAAGTAGTTTTTAAATTTTAAATAATATATTTCTATTTTAATATTATGTTTGTAATATATTTGTAACCCGATGCAAAAAGGTTGGAAACTCCTGCTCTAGATACTGAATGATTAGTATGTTATATTTTTTTATTTCAGGTCATGTTAGTATTGTGTGGAATCCTGGTAAATATTACTATTTCTAACGCCTACATAGTGATAGCTATTGTAATTCTTGGAGCAGTTTTCCTTAAATTCCGGTCATGGTATATATCCTCAGCTAGAGTGCTTAAGCATCTAGAGGGAATAAGTAAGTAATTTTAATTCTATTGTAGTAAATCAATTACTATTAAAGTCCAGAATATGTTTTCTTGAGAAAATCAAACTAAATTTATCTATCAATTTTAGCTAAGTCTCCTGTTTTCTCTCATATTAATGCCACACTAAATGGAATTATCACAATACGAGCTTCGAATGCTCAAGATATCCTAATAGAAGAATTTGACGATAATCAGGTGAGTGGTATTTTCTTCTTTAGATATAGCTTCTATAAGAAACGTCGCCAATTTTCATTATCATTTATTGCGTCCAATATTGATCTGCTTAGTTGTCTTCGAAATGTTAATTATGTATTTTCATCTGTGAATAAAATAAGGTCCCCTAGAAACAAAGTAAAAGACAAACTACAGTATATAAAGAAGTGAATAAAATAATAAGAAAAATATTAAGGAAACAAAAAATCGGAAACAAGAAGAAATAATTGAAAATCAATAGAACAAAATAAGAACACGAAATGCTGAAAACTACAACTTTTTTTTCGTCTTTATAGAGTTGGTGTCTGGAATCTTCAAAAGACATCTCAGTCCAGGACGCCTCCTGACTAACCTTGGTGCAGGATTCGTTCTTTGTACTCCCGGCAATAGTTCCCGAGGTACTTTAAAATGGCCTTCTTCATTTATACACATCCACACTATTCATCAGCAAAGAGGCTCCCTGGCTCGTTCCAGGTAGCGCGTAGAAGACACTTCTAGTTCGGCATCATTCAGCTTCACCTTTCAGCTTCATTCACTCTTTCCTTTGCCGTTGGTCCAGCTACCTTTCTTTCTCTTCCTTTTTCTTGATCACTGCACGGATATAGCTGTGTATGTTAATCCAACCTAATTTATTTTCAATCATTCTCTCAATAATTTCTCCACTGTAACAAAATTCACACCTATCTCTCTCTCCATTCTCTTTCCACTATCCATCTGCTGCAATCTAGCATCGTATGTGTCACAGTGCCCGAGTATCTACAGTATAGGCATTCATCTGTATTAGCCTTTCCGATCCTATAGAGATAGGCCCTAAAACACCAGTGTCCTGTGAGCTCCTGCGTGAGGAAATAATCCAGTCGCCTGTGGCTACAGTCCAGCCAATCTCTTATGTTTGAGATCAGCATTTTCGTCTACTGTGCCACATCCTCCGTGTTGTTCCATTCTTCTTGTCATCTTTCAACTGACCATGCCCTTTCCTGTCTTCTCTCAGCCACAGTAAGGTTTGGGTCTCTTCTGTCATAAAGCTCGTTTCTTTCCACCGCCAAAACATGCAACGGAATACATCCAGTTGTGGTCCATAAGGCTGCCGCAGACACAGTCCTGTAGCCACTCGCAACAGATCGTTCTGTCCACTCGTATCATGAGACTCCTATAGGCCGTAATCTCTACCGCCTCCTGTAGATCGACTGTACAACACCGTGTAAGACCCTCCTCCTTTCTGATTTGGGTCCTCCAATGTTCGGCATCACCCTCCCCAACGCAGATAATAGTTGATAACTACAACTTACAACAAAAACACACAAATTATTATAATTAACTTTTTATTATTACAGGACGTAAATACGTCGGCATGGTACTTGACAATTGCCTGTATGAATTCCTTTGGATTATGGTTGGACTTCCTTGCTATCATATTCTTAGCAGTTGTTACATTCTGTTTTGTAATTTTAAGAAAGTGTAAGTAAATATTTTTGTAAAATATCATAAATATAAAAATATGTTGTCAATAAAAAAACTGGTCAATAATTTTTTTTAGTCACCGATGTCAATGGCAGTTTAGTAGGACTAGCTGTTTCCCAATGCTCAGTTCTTACTGGCATGTTACAGTTTGGAATGAGACAAACTGCAGAAGTTATTAACCAGTTAACTAGTGTCGAAAGAGTTATGCAGTATACTAAACTTGATATAGAAGGTCCATTTGATACACCAGAAGGTAAGGTTTCCTATTAGATATTGATGAAGTCTTGACACATTTGACATGTATTCAGAGGTCATTAATTACAATGTAAAAATAAAATATTTTGTACATTCTTTCCCAGCAGACGACTTCTTCGTTCTGAAATTAATTATTCAGATTTTGCGAATACGAGTAGCCTCTCTCTAATCATAAAATATTCTTTTTGCGTTGCGACGCCTACAGCAATATCGTATCGAAACTTTTAAAAAATATGTCACTTTAGCTGATAATTATCTTAATAACATACACATAATAATTCAATTTCTTTTCTTATTATTAATTTAGTTAGGGGGAATCTATACTAAAAATCTTATCTGCCTAAGACCCAACATCGTTTCTGCTGAGTCTGCGATGAGATCATTCGGTTAAACAAGATTTGGTGAAAGAGCGCGGTTAATATTCAAAAGAAACGAGACAAATTAATATTAATAACAGATAATGCCGGCTGTAAACAAAATACGGAAATAAGTAATAAAGTAACGATATATAATTCTTGGTTTGGTATTCGGTACTTAGGGTATTGGATAGTAACGAATATAAAGTAACGAGTAGTTATTTTTTCGACATCACTAAACTTCACTTTCCCAATTGCACTTCCTTCAAGTCTAATGTAATAATTGTTTTTATTTAATCTTAAAATGCAGTCAAGTTTATGTCATTCATTTTTTTTTGTGGTTTAACCATGTTTTAGCACATGTAAGCTTATTAAATGCAAACGTTTATTAAGAAACAGATTACTCCCGTGGGACACGGTAGATAGCTCGGTTAGGCCCAGATCGCTCAGATTGTGGGTTTAAACCCCACCAAGTGTCTGTTGTTTAGACATTTATATATTTGGTTGGTCTTTATTATGGCTATGTTAATTGAAGCTTAAAATGTACCTACTCTGTTACGATGTTCTAAGATCTAAAGTAACGTTTACTAAATAGTAATAGGCTAATGGGTAACTGCGAGACTTGCAAGACTCTTACTGCAAAGACCAAGACCAAGACCGGGACACACAATACCAAGACCAAAACCTACGACCAGGTGTATTGGCGCAAGACCAAGACCAAGACTGTCTAAGTCTCGTCTTGTTCTTGCATTTGGGAAACACTATGTACAATTTTAACGTTGGAGTTTTTTATTATATTAGTATTTATTATTTATAAATATTCCAGAAAATCGACCAAGAGGGGTATGGCCAAAACGAGGTCAAATTGAATTTAGGAATTTATCTTTAAAATATGTTGAGAACGATCCACCAGTACTCAGAAATCTTAACTTTATGATAATGCCAGGACAAAAAGTAAGTTTAAATTAATGTCATAATTAGAACAACTAAGGAAACAATGAAAATTAATATGTAATATTTTTTAATAATCTACTAGCTGATCCCACTAAAGACATTCTCAGCGTATTCTACCGATTACGGTACAGCCTACAGCCATTTGTGCCACGATATCCTAATGTATAATCCTAATATATAATAGTCTAATATCCACTTCTCTGTGCTATGTTGTATCAGCTTGTTTCCTTATGTCGTAGTCTTATCTTAAATTTGGACGTCTTCCTGGTCTCTTGACGCCTCTTGGATTCTTCTTCTTCTTAGAGTGCCGTCTCCCTACGGAGGTTGGCAATCATAATGGGTATTTTTATTTTAGAACTTGCTGCTCTAAACAAATCAATCGATCTGCATTGATACTAATCACGTAGATACTTTAACCATGAGTTTTGCCTTCAGATCTTCTTCCTTGAATCTTTCCATGTATTATGAGTCTCAAAATTTCATATTTTGGACCCCTCATCACGTGGTCTAGGTATTCCAGTTTTCTGGTTTGTATAGTGGTGATTAGTTCTGTTTCTTTACCAACCCTCTCCAGTACTTCTTATTTGTAATTCTTCTCGCTAAATGTTCCGCCCACTGCCACTTTAATCTTTATTTTTGTGGAGTACATCAAGAACCTTAGTTTTCTATCCGATCTATTCTATTCTTAGTTATAATATAGTTATTCCTACCATACACCGCTCTATTGACCTTTGATTGACTTTAAATTTCGCTATTATGTCCAAGTTTCGCAGCCACATGTTATGAATGATAGTATACACTAATCGAATACTTTTTTGCCAAACTAGACCAAATGCAAAAGATGTCCAAGCCAGTTTTATTCTTTTGTTGATTTCTGGAACTAAGGACCAAGATTCATGTAATAATTAATTATTTATGAGTTGATTTTCTTATTACGTCTATACTTTCTTTATTTCCACTAGTAACTGTTTAATTTTATGCCAATAATATAATTATTCATTTAATTAAAGACTAAAATAGTAGAGAAGAAAAATTGAAAGGACCTTTAAGAATAAATATTGTTTTGTATGTTTAGATCGGTATAGTTGGCCGAACAGGGGCAGGAAAATCCTCCCTTATCTCAGCTCTCTTCCGTCTGGCTCCACTTGAAGGCGCCATTTATATAGATGGAGTAAATACCAAAAATCTAGGATTAACTGATTTGAGAAGAAAAATTTCCATTATTCCTCAGGAACCAGTACTGTTTTCTGCTTCTTTGAGATACAACTTGGATCCCTTCAACGAGTTTGATGATGACAAAATTTGGCAGGCTTTAGAACAAGTAAGTTTATGAATATTTTTTATGTTTAGTGTACTGTATTAAGTGTTTTTAAATACATTTTTCTAATAGCTTTTTCAGTAAAAAGAACATTCAACATATCGACCTGAATATTAAGCAGAACGTATTGAAAGAGTAACCGATTTAAATATCTGGGATATACAGTGAATGATAAGTGGGACCCAGACGTAGAGATTAAGATCGAATTGAAATAGCAAGATCCAAATTCATCAAAATGAGAAAGCTCTTTAGCAACCGCAACCTAAGCGTTAACCTCCGATGGCGCGTCCCGAAATGCTACATACTCTCTACACTACTTTACGGAGTAGAAGGGACGTTAACAGCAGCAACTATAAAGAAGTTAGTGGCTCTAGAAATGTTGCTGCATCGACGCATACTGGGAATACCTTGGACAGACAGTGTGACCAACACAGAGGTATTAAGACGAATGGGTAAAGAGGTGGAATTGTTAACAACTATGAAAAGGAGGAAAGCGTCATACCTGGGCCATGTGTTCCGTATTGATAAGTACAGTTTGCTACAGCTTATCGTGGAAAGCAAGATTGAAGATAGAAGAGGTTTGCGCAGAAAGAAGAAATTCTGGCTGAAAAACTTGAAAAGAGAATGGTTTCAAATACCAGAATCTGCGAATATAATACATGCGGCACAAAAAAGAGAAACCTATCGTTTGATGGTCGCCAACCTTCGGTAGAAGACGACACATAAAGTAAAAGAATAGCTTTTTACGTATTAACGGTTTTAAGTAATCTATATATCTGTATATACAATCTATAAGTGATGCATTGGTTAGTGATCAGTGTAGTAGTGTCTGGGGGTTCGGGTGATATATATATATATATATATATATATATATATATATATATATATATATATATATATATAATATATATATATATATATATATATATAACTAGAAGTTTGGTTGCAAAAATTTGATCATAGGATAAATTTGATCTTCTTAAATGAATTACTATTTAACTGGGAATAAGCCACAATTAAAGATAAAAATACGTTTATTGACGTTTCAATTTCCACTTCGGAAATAGTTTAGAACGATTTCCGAAGTGGAAATTGAAACGTCAATAAACGTATTTTTATCTTTAATTGTGGCTTATTCCCATATTAAATAGTAACTAATTTAAAATGCCACAAGAAAATAGCTTCAGAACAATATTTGATCTTCTTGTTATTTATTGTGACTAGTAATCCATAAACCAAGAAGCACTTTAAGTAGAAAAGCAGTAATTATTATTTACTTTTAGGTGGAACTCAGGGACAGCGTAGACTCCTTGGACTTCCATGTAGCGGAAGGTGGTGGAAACTTCAGTTTAGGTCAAAGACAATTAGTATGTTTAGCGAGAGCTGTCTTAAAGAACAATAAAGTTTTAGTGTTAGATGAAGCTACAGCAAATGTTGATCCTAGGTAAGAGATGAATTGATAATCGATTACCACTGTTTTGTGTAAAACTTTAATTTCATTATTAGATTTAGACGTAATAGCTCTAATACATAATAACTTATTGTCAATTCTATACGAGATTCACTTATGTTTATTACTGCAGCGTGGCTGGTGCACCGCTCGGAAACTAAGGGTGATATTGACAAACACTTTGAATGACGCACACGCACAAGAAGAAGAATATATTTGCTAAATTTTTTATGTACGGTTTGTCAGTGCCTTGGTTGGTCAAAGCTTCTATTACTGCCTTGGTATATATAATGTCAAAAGCCTTCTCGAAATCTATAAAGGTTAATGCTAGCGGTATTTCATATTCTTTAGCTCTACTCATTAGTTCTCGAAGTGTATGAATATGATCTATGGAACTGAATCCACTTCTGAAACCAGGTTGTTCTCTCGGCTGTGCAGTATCTTTTGTTGTCAGCATATTTAAGAAGTTCCACTGTTACAATATCTATTCCAGCTGCTTTACCAATTTTCATTTTTGTAATTGTCGATTCTACTTCTTCCAGAAGGAGGTTCATCTTCCTAGTTACTGACTACAGTTCACCAAAAATAGCCGAAAGTCTGAAAGTCTGAAATTCTACCTGCCTGCGCGAACAATGAAGTAAGAACGCACTCGGATGAAAAAGGATAGCTTGTCTGCGCGGGTGAACTTTAAAATATAGGTACAATCGAAGACACAAATATAGAAACGTTAATTTTGAATAGCTTCTAATAGGTCCCGTTCACAATTATTATTACTGTCATTACTTTTCTTCAGTATATTTGTGGTATTTGTTCTACAAAGTGAGATGTAAAAAAATAGATCCAACAAATACCGCTTGTATTGCTATAAATTATGGCATTAACCAAAAATTATATTTTTATATTGACCATTTATACTTAATAATACCATTATACTCATCAAAAGGTTTCGGAGAAAAAGAGCGTAAGCAGTAGGGTAATAAAGTAGTAATAAAATCGTCTGCAGTAATGCAATACTGATAAAAATTAGATGGTCGTTTAAAAGCGGCCTTTATCTTTGAATATTTACCCAAAGTAAGAAAAAAGTGCAAACTCTTAAAAAAAAGAGATATTTAGTATTATATAATTAAGTCATATATAAAATATTAAAAATAAGAATGCAAAATATTTTCAAATGTGATTATTAATGACCGTATAAGTGCCCTATAAATGATTAAGGCGGGAAATTAAAAATTCTTTTGTTTTGACTGCTACAATCGTCCGCGTAGAACTAAATAAACATATAATTATTTCTAAAAGTTTATAATAGCTAACAGTTTCTGAAGAAATGCAACATGAGTGTCTCAGCAAAGAATATAGACGCTTCTATAAGCGTCTATATTCGCGTCTATAAGACGCATGTAGACGCGTCTATAAGCGAATAAGCGTCTATATTCTTTGGTCTCAGGTTCATATTTCTAATCATTTGACTCAGAATCAATGTCCATCTCGTCATTTTCAGAATCACTGTCACTATTGACAACTACATTTGTGATTTTTTGATCCACCAAGGTGTCAAAAGCTGGCTGTTGTGCCATATGCCTTTGTTCTATTTTTTTAACATGTTCACACTTCTTTTTCCATTGTTCGACTGAAAACGAATTAAAAAATTTATCACACAAACTTTCTACTAATTTAAAATCAAGACTGACATATTTTCAGTGACCTATTGCTTCATAGAAGCCCATAATAACTCTGTAGGATTCAAATCCGGATGATACGAGGGTAACCTAAAACTGAATGTCTTTTGTCCCCGAGTATTTTGTCAATTCCATACGTTTTAAAGCGAGGTTTGTGTAATTTTATAATGTCCTATTGTTTAAATTTCAACATGTTATCTGTAAACGAAATATTTCGAGTTGTCAGCCACTGCTGCATTTCTGCTTCTCTGGGAGGCATAGTTGGACATTTCTCAGTTTGTACGTTGTGATACGGTGCATTATCAATAACTAAAACGCTGTTCGGGGGCAAATTTGGTATCAGCTTATCCTGAAGCCACTTTTTGTAATTGTCGTAGTTTATTGCATCATGGTAATCTCTTAATGATTTTATAGTGGGTTTGTAGCGCAGATAAGCGTTTTTACCAAAACCAATTTCACCTCCAACATGTAATTTCACAAGCATCTGTCCTTGAGATTGTAGGCCCTTGTTTGAATTATCAGACCAGCTCTTTTCGTAGGTATGAGATGGGCGTATGTTTCATCCATGTATATAATTGGGCGATTTATGTTCCTGTAACTTTCATACTACGTAAGAAATTTAGTCTAAGATGTTGAATATTGGGCTTTTCCATGACTAATTTTCTATTAGTTCTGGTTTTTCGCCAATGAAATCCTATCTTTCTAGTTACTGTTCGTAGGCTTTCTATGGAACCTGAGTAGTTGTACACTGCAAATATTCTGTGCATGCGTTTCACAGTTGGAACTTGTTTTTGTGTTATAGAAAAATCCATTATATAACGTCGAAGACGCCCTATATCAAACTTATCCAAGCACGTTTTTGAAGCGCTTTTTTTTTCTCTTTTTGTTTCGAGTTACAAATGAGGAATATTCGGCGTCTTCAATTAATTGCATTTCCCGAGCAATTTTAACGCTGCTTAAACTAACACCTGTTAGCAATACCACACGCTCCTGCACTCGAATCTCTACACAGTTTATTGTCTTTGGCTTCTTTTCTAATAAAATGAATTACAAATGCTATCACTTCCCGTGTCTGATTTTTAAAACTTTTCCCTTCAGATTCGATTTAAATTCCATGTTTAATATAGGTACAAAAACACAGATTTGCAAATTCGGAAATGACTCTTCTTTGCGGTTCGTACTTACAAAAATTTTTTCGCAGACTGTAACGTTCACGTCACAAACGGTAGATATTTAGTGGACGCTCAGCTATTTTTGGTGAACTGTACTTCTTCAAGTGTGTCAGGGGCTTTGCGTAGTTCGCTGTAAAATTTAATTATGAGTTGTATTATTTTATTTTTGTCTGTAATTCTGGTGTTTTCTTGCGTAAGAGCAACGATTTGCTTCTTCCCAATATTTAATGCTTTTCTTGTTTTCTTATAGTTTTTCCTATTTGGTTGCATTTTCTACCACTCTTTTATTGTATTCTCTTATGTCTTTCTTAAAAACTTCCTTATTGTCTCACAAAGTTCTGTGTATTGTATTCTCTGATGTTGCTGTTTACTTTCATTTCCTTTTTTTTGTGTTAGCATTATTTTAGTTTTATCAGACAGTTTACTATATTGATTTTGTCGTTGTGGGCCTCAGATTTCTTTGGTATTATCAAGGATGATTTCCATTAATTGAGAGTTGTAGATTTGGTCATGTATTCTTTTATCAGTTGTCGTTTGGTAGTGATCTGAGTTTTCTTTTAGATTGTTAATATTTATACCGGTTATTTGTTATTTTATTATTATATATTTATATTATATATTATTATTACTTTCTCTCATTATGTAAACACGAAAGCGAATTTATGTCTGACACTCTACATTTATTACGGAGATAAGTGTCAGCTATAAACGTACCATAATATTACAATTATTTTTTATTTCATTTAAAAGTTGGGACAAGATAGTATTATTAATATCAACATATTTATCATAAATAAGATTGCAAATTTAGTAATTTATTTATTATTTCCATATACTTGTTTTGAGTACAGCATTGTAACTTTTCTATATTTTAGGACTGACGCACTAATCCAAGCAACAATTCGAAAACGATTTAAAGACTGCACGGTTCTTACGATTGCCCATAGGCTGAACACCATCATGGACTCCGATAAAGTGTTGGTAATGAGTTTCGGAAATATGATCGAATTCGACCATCCTCATAAACTTCTTCAAATTGCGGACGGACACTTCCACAAAATGTTACTAGAAACTGGACCAGTGATGTCGGCGCAACTCAAAGATGTAGCCATGAGGGCATACCAACATGAGTGAAAACATGGCATAGGATAGGAATCCTTATTTATTACTTTCAAATGCCTTTATTTTCTAACAATACGTCACACTACGCAAAAGTTTTTTGTCGAATAAAAGTTAAATATAAAAAAGCATCTCAAATGGGATTTTAATTAATTTGAAGATATCGTTGAGAGCGCATTAAATTTTATTTTATAATTATGTTTTACAAATACGATTTGCTACCTATTGTACGTTTTATTTTATTTTCTATACCTTCAATAAATTCACCCTTTCGAGTTGGAATTTTTTTAGGATCGGTATGGAATTTTATACTTTTTTTTTTGTTTAAAACGTATAATAATGCAAAAATAAAAGTGATTGAGATTAATTTTATGCTTAAGATCCGCCATTTTGTCCGGGACATATATGTCCCAGTCAGATTTTTTTGGAACACATATGTGGGACTATATTAACCCATCAGACACCAAATTATTACTTTATTTTAGTAATGAAAAATTGAAAATACAAATAAAATCTCATATTTTGAAAACAAAAGGACTAAAACTAAGATCAATATTTAATGTAAATGAAAAGGTGTGAGACATGTTTTGCACAAGGTTACATTGCAGCTCTGACATATTGTGGTGGTTCGTTTTTCTTTTTTCTGAGAAGAACATCGTTGAAATCTTCTACTGGTCTTTCCTTCGATAGGTACATGATCTCCCACGTTAAACATTTTTTTTTTGTTTCTTCCCTGGAGGACGTCCAAGTGATGTCGAGGCTTTTCTTTTAACAGCAGCATGGTTTTTTCCTAATGAAATAAGTCCCTGAGCTATACTAATTAGAAAAGGCAAAAATGGTGTTTTTTCTTTCCTTTTTAGATCATTGTGTAATACATGAGAAGCACCAACAGGCATCATCAGAAAGGGAAAAAATATTTTCTTCTACTATTTGGTAGACTTCCTATCAAAGTCCAAAATATGATCAGTTAGGTCTACGCCGCCCATTTTCTTATTGTACATGTCGAGCAGTTCAGGATATCGCACATTCAATTTAGAACTATCCTTCATTTTTCGTTTCACTTCTACTTGCTGATCTCTAAAGCAATTGCTTACTGCTAACAAGTCTTTAGTATCTTGCCATCTGCAAATTATAGTGCCGTGGTTATTTTTACTCTGAATTCTGAGTCACCACGAATCAACTTCCCAACAAATTTAGGCACATATATTCTCGTTGCAACCCTTATAGTACTAAAAAATTTGGTCACTACTCTTTCTCCCAATAATTAACTAGTATCATTTCCTGTTTCCTTTCCCTCGTAAATATTAAAATTGTAGACATATCCTGTTGCAGAGTGACTTCGTACCCAAATCTTTATTCACCATTTCATGGGCTTCATGGGTAGGAACTGTTTTAGACCTTCCTTTACATTTCGCCATTGACTTATCAATGCCTTGTAAAGCCGCCTCTGTTCGATATGTTGGAAATGTTAGTTTTAGACAATTACCGACATCTTCGATGTAATATGATTTTCCCGCATTGTCAGGCTTTACCATATCAGCGCAATACATTTTGGCAAGGATCAGTTTAAAGCGGTCTAGAAAAATTGCCCTTTTAATTGCTAAACTTCCTAAAGAATCATTTTGTGACCAATAATCATTGAAAGATGGATCTCGATTATATGCCATGATTAGTGTGACACCCAATACAATCATAATTTCATGATCATCAGTAGGAATTCTTTTTTTCTTGGTGTCGTTTCCAAATTTCTCTAAACGTAAGTTCGTACAATGTGCAATATGTCGAATGAAGCTCATGGGAAAGACTTTTAAAAGAAAGAAGGACACTACTGCTTTCTTCTTCATTTTCGTCACTTATCATCTGATTCTCTTCATCCATCTTATCGCACTCGGAACCTGAATCTATTTCGTGACGCACTCGTTCTACGTCTCCTTCACATCCTGTTGGATTGTAGTCTTCCTCATCGGAGCCACTAGTCTCAAAAGGATCGACTTCTGATTCAGTATTGCTGGCAAAAATGGCTGCTGCCTCTTCCTCTAGCTCTTTCTGCGTCAATATCTTTCTACTCATCTAGAACAAAACAAGAATGTTGATATATATATATATATAATATATATATATATATATATATAATATATATATATATACCTACCATACCTACCATAAATGTCTGTTGGGACATATTTCACCCATAAAACGTTTTTTTGAATGTAGTTACCTTTTTTGTAGGTAGCTCCACTCACAAAAACATTCGCAACAACAGTAACAGTGCACAACTGTCCCTTTGGTAGTCATCAACAAAACTACATAAGCACATTCCATCGCTTAACATCACAAGCAAACACAGCACGAAACCGGTTTGCAATGTTGCCGCTTACACAAATTATTCTTTCAATACTGATGTTAACTTCTAAAAAAGTCGGTTACTATAAAAATTCATGTAAAACGGTTTAGATTTAGCCCAAGAGACTTGATGGTTTCATGACTGGGATACATACGTCCCGTCAGACTCGAAAGGGTTAAGCTAAGGTATTTTACATAGACTTCGTTTTATAAAGAGACAAATATTTAATTCATACTAGAGAGATTATAAGAAAATATCCTTTTGTCAGTTTAGCTTTTGAACTTTTCCTTATGTTATACATCCACCCTTAAGGTTTCATTAATATTGCATTTTTAATATATTCAAAGTAATAATATAATTGGCATAATAAATATACCATCCAACCAAATTATTACATTGACATAAAATGATTCCATCTAAAAATGAGTATCAGTTTTTCACATATATTGATAACATTCACAGTCATATATATTTAATCAAAATTATCTACCAAAGATACAAGTTGTTACGTTAATACCTATTAAATTTAAGAAGAATGTAGTTGCAAATATATAAATATGTTTTAAGTATTTTTTGTTTTATTATTTCAATCAACAGTTTCTACAGATAAGATTACAAAAGTACTTTACCTTTTATTTCAACACTTTATTAAAATTATAAATATTATGTTTTAATATGTACAATATACGCTTTAGCAATATTTTTGAAGTTAATATTCTACAGCACTGTTTTTTGTCTTAAACTTTTTGTTTGGTGGTAAGATCGTTAGGTATCTTTCAGACAGACGATATTTGGTCATTGACGTGCTTGCAGTGATCGTGTCGTGAAAAAAGTTTGGTTGCATTCACACGTCATTCATACAGTAGTGTACGACTTCTTACACGTACGATGAAGTTAACTGCTATACACGATATCGTTGCTGTAGATGACTACGACAAAATAATGTCCATCTGAAAGAAGTCTTACGACCACGAGACTCCATTTTCAGAAGCTTTCTAGTTTCTAGCTTTCGAAGTCATTATGATGGTTTCGTGATTGGTTTTGAAATTAAATAATGTAGTTATATAATCTATATAACTAAGATTTGTACTTTCAAGCTTTCTATTACAGGCGACATACCCAGTTCATCTTCATTTTTTAATCCAGATATTAACATCGATATCTTTATTATTTGTATCAAGGTCATATATAACTGACCGAAAAACAAATATGTTACCAAAATGCTTGAACAAAATATTCTAATAATATTTATTGGTTTTAGAGATACTTTGTTCCATTTTCATTGGTCGTTTATTTTTTTAAGACAACAGTTTTCCAAAATAAAATTTTTTATATAGAAAAGTTATACTACTAAGAGCGAATCTTTGCGTATTATTTAACAATTTTATAATATAACGACTGGCAAAGGTTTGGTGACAGTACTTTCCAACCTTATGTTTCCTTCTTGTTTTTATGATTCTATATTTATTTATATTTACAGTGTTTTGTGCCATAATGTTGTTTTATCTGTTTACTCATTGGAGAGATACTTATTTGTATTTTCTAGCATATCAAAAAAACTGTGATATTTTATTTCTCTATAAGTAGTGTGACGTTTATTAGAGAAAGGCATATTCGCGTTGTATAAAAATATTAATTTTTCCTAACATCACACTAATTTTTTTATTGTAAGCATATTTAAATGTAGATATAGGCTTTTATAGTAGTTTTATTTTAGTGCATTTTAATCAGGTTTTAAAAATAAATAGTCGTTTTATATATTTGATTTTTATTAGATAACCACCAACACCATTATACATACACACACATACACACACACACACACACACACATATATATATATATATATATATATATATATATATATATATATATATATATATATAAACTAAATTCCTGTATTATTATACCTTATTTTATATACCTTTTGTTGCTTTCTGCACAACATATAAAGCCATCAGAAAGTGATGAGAGAATATATTAAGTTGAATCTTGACCTCTATATTATGTTCAATGTTCGAACACAAGAAAATATACAAACAAACATGGGTCTCCAACGAAGGCGTCATAAGAAATCAGATCGATCATGTTCTAGTTGATGCCAAGAGTGGTAGTAACTGTCTAGACGTAAGAAGCCTAAGAGTAGCTGATGGAGACACGGATCATTTTCTGGTAAAAGCGAAGATAAGGTCAAAAATAGCGTCCAAAAAACACACAAGAATTCATCAACACAATTATGGAATACCGAAGTTCTACATAATAAGAAAACAGAACATAAATTTCAAAAGGCTATAAAAATCACTCTAACACAGACAGAAGACTATAACAACATAGATTCAGCTTGGAAAAATATCAAATTAGCTCTGACAAGCGTATTAGATGAAATACTAGGACATAAAAAGAAAACAACAAAAAAATGAACTCCATAACAGCAAGAAATATGGCTAGAAGGAACATGCTACAAAACCCCTCGCACAACAACAATGATATGTATAGACAAAGAAGAACAGAGACAAAAAAACCAATGAAAATTTATACGATTTTAATCTTTATACGATTTTTTAATCGTTTTTATATTACCAGGAATTTATTATACACACAAGATAATGACACTCCACGGTAGCTTCAATTTTACCTGAATACTTACTTGCTCAACTAATGTTGACTAAGCTAGGGTACTTGCGGTCGGGTTTTATTTCAATTATTAAGCACTCAAACCATTTTTCGTGAAATAAACTATACAATTATATTAAATGTTTAATGCTGTATATTCAGTACCCTGGTAATAAATTGATAATCACCATACTTTTTGTTCAGCTCTATATGTAGGTCTAGTTTAATAGATATTTTAAGTTATCATACTTACATATCATGATATGCTCATAACTGAGGTAACGCCTAACATTTTTGTTTATTTTTACTATTTAATTTAAGTATTGCATACTTCTGTTTTACTCAGTTATAAAAGTATTCCATACAATTTTAAAAAGATTTGTTTAAAACCTTATTTGATTTAGATTTCATTTTTGATTTTGCTATTGGCATGTTTGGTTTATGTCTATTTTGTTATTTTGTTGCAATTTCAATTTTAACTTCTATTTGGAGGAACTTTCTGCCATATAAGAAATAAAAGTTATTAATTAGTAGCAATTATTTATTTATTACCCTGTTATAATTTTTATTTCTTTTGGAAAATAATAAGATACTTTCAACCGAAATGTAGATCAGCGTATAAGTATGTTTGTTTTTTTTTTACCATATATGCCATTTTATTTTTAATTTATTTGTTATCTTTTAAATCTTTCTTAAACCAATCTTTTCATATTTCAAGTAACGAGTTTTTCTTGTCCTTATAAAAAAAGTCAAGGTGACGCCCTTTATTTTTCACTTTTTATATCAAATTCTGTCTACTTTCATTGATACGTTTCAATCAATTCACTTTTATTCAAATACACCCCATATTAGATCTATAGACCCACGTCCCAAAGCTCACCATTGTGTCCCTTAAAACACCAGAGCGCCGGTTTGCAAGGTGAACATACTTGTATCTAGAATTCTCTCGTTTAATCCTCACTTTATATCTATATAAGTTATGTTAAAACCTTCGTTATCAATCGCTTCTGTCGCTATTTCATAAATAACATCTTAAAGTCGAACCAGGAGGATTCTTAGCACCCTTGGACCATCTAAGGAACTAAGTGGTCTTTGCTTCACTTCTGTCCAAAATATAAGATTATTATTCCAGGTACATCCATAGGGATCATTAATTTAGTGGTTTTTCATCACCTTCTAAATCCTTATGTCGTTCGCCAAACTTTGGTTCATCTGCCTTCGGGGCCAATTTCTCAATCCCAGGACAAATAAGTGCCCTGCCACTGACCATCTCATGCGCCCGAAGCCGTTGGTCAGTAAATAAGGGCTTGCTTATAGCGGCAATCACTTGGACGTCGGAGCCTCGTTTGTCTAGAAGAATGTACTGGATGATCACAATTAAGATCATCACACAAGCAGGTGACGTTCACATTTGGATAGGAGAGGATTTACGTTGCGCATCATTATCATTTGCGTTCCTAGTTACTATCAATCCAATCAAAATTGTATTTTAAATTATTGATTTACTTGGGACAATCTGTATATTACGTCAAATCATAGCAGCTACTGATTTATTTTTTTTGCCAAAGGATTATGATCGATAATATTGTTATAGTGATTATAAGTACTGATAAATAAGTTCTTTACATACACTTGAGAAACATTTTTTGTTTAGTATTACAGATAAATTCAAGCGTCTTTACTTACGTGAAATACGATGAAGCTAATTATCTGTTCAATTATTTTTATAATATTAGTTGGACAGAGTTCAGCATTTTTACCATGTAAGTAAATTTTCAATTAAATAAACAACTATATTATAGTTATGTGTATATATGTGTATGTGAGTGTTCAAAGTTCAATCAAATTCAATTAACAAATTAGTTAATGAATTTTTGGAAACTCTTTGTTAAAGTAATTAACAAACCACTACTAACATATCCAGTCCCTGTATCATAGTCTTAGTCAATATGCAGGTCTTTATTTTGGTATAGCTTATCACATTTTCACTCCTGTCATATTCTCCTATACAGTATTACATCACTAATCTAGTACTATCAAAAACCAGAGGGTGTCGGATTATTGGAACATTCAGATTAATGGATTGTATAAAAATATTCATAAGAAATAAAATTAAATACTTTTTTGATCTTGAATGTTTTTTTTTGAGGTTTTAGGGACAGATATTATCGTTTTCTAATAATTCATTTCCAGCAATCCTCTTGCAAGGAAGGAAATAATAATATTTACATTTCATACTTAAATCTAACTTAAGATAACTTAGTCTTCTTTTTCAACAGACATCCCGCTGTAGGACCGCCTAATGTTGGTTTTCCTTCTTCTCGGATCTTGAATTCTCTGTCATTGATTCCTTGGCTTTTTCTTCTATAGGTACTTATTTGTGGCATCGTACTTAATTTCCTGCCTGGTTATATTCAGCAACTACCCGGCTAGACCCTGATCAGATCTGTGGGTTTGTCTAAACATCCTCTGGACCCGATTGTGGCTTGATGGAAAAAGTATCTGGTCTTTTTCTCAGCCACCTCTCTCAGCAGTGTATACTGAAGCCTTTCTTTGATGGTTGCATTAGATATTCTTTCTTCTCATGTTGATCCGTTGATGATCCTGTAACATGATGTTTCTGTGGCTTCAAGTCTCCTCCAGTTGGTCTTTGCTATGGAACTCCAGACTGGTACAGCATATAGTATCACCGATCTAACGTAGGCCTAGTATAATTGAATCTTCTTGGCCTTCGTTAGTGGGCTGGTCCTGAAAATATAAGGAACTATTAGTTTTTTAGCAGCATTAGCTTTTACCTTGGTTTTTTGTGTATGCAACTGGAAGTTTAGTCTTCTGTCGAGGTGGACTCCTAGGTACTTGATTGAATCTCCTGATTGTATCCTATTTCCTCCTACTGTGATTTCTTGCACTGGTGGGTTATTTTTATGGGTGAACATGATGAATTGTGTCTTTTCAGCGTTAATTTTGATCTTCCATTATTTGGTGTATTCCGTGATTTTTCCGAGATGATTTTCTATATTTCTGACAATTCTTCTGTCATCCTTTCCTGTTGCATACACTGCTGTATTATCAGCGTAGAGGGCTGTAGATGTTTTTGAATCTGTTGGTAAATCTGAAACAAAAATGTTATATAAAATGGGCGAGAGAATACTGCCCTGTGGCATCTTCTTCTTAACGTGCCATATTAAGTCCCGTTGACGTTGGCGATTAACATGGTGAGACTGTCTCTGTCTCGAGCTATTCCAAAGAGTTGCTCAGCTTTCTCAGCCTGTGGCATCCCTTTTTGGTTTTTTGGATCATCGACATTTTTTGGTCCTCTGAAACTTGAAAAGTTCTATTAGTTAAATGCATGTCACATATTAACTATGTAATGAAATAGTCCAACCATCTTGAAGATTAGTGCCTTCTTCCCAACCGTGTCGTATGCTTTTTCTATGTCCAGTGTGGCATTCCTGTTCTTTGTCTTCAGTTAAACCTTATCTTCGTGTCGCTGACAACTCTTGCAAATTGAAGTTCGCAGGTAGTTCTTCCTCTTCTAAATCCGAATTGATCCTCCTGGATAATTCTTCTTCTTTCTGTATGTTTAATTAGTCTTCTATAGATGAGTTTTCCAGGACATTTAAAATTATTTCTGGGAGAGATATTGGCCTGTAACTTTCCGGTCTTTTTGCATATTTCCTTGGTTTTAGTAGAGGGATGATCTTGGCGTGTTTCCAGTTACTTGAAAAATGTCCTTTTTCCAAGCAGTACTTATAGATATAGTATAGTTGCACTATTATCTTCTTAGGTAGTTCCTTGAGGACGATGTTGTGTATTCCTTTTGGTCTTGATGCTCTGCTTCCCTTCAATTTCCTGATGATTTTGGCGATTCTGTTGGATTTGTGTAATCCTCTTCCTCTAATAAAAACTCATTTCTGTTTTTGATCCTTGCGTATTCTGTGTTGACTTCTTCTCTTGTTCGTGAATCTGATCCTGTAGTAGTGAGTAGCTGCCATTCTTCTTGCAATTGCTCCACTTTTACTTGTGTCCCTCGTCGTCTATGATTTATGGCATCTTTTGTTCTTCTCTTTGTTTGGCTTTTAGCATTTTCCATACGTTTCCGTGATTTTCTTCTGCTTTGTTAATGTTGTTGTGCGATTTATTTTCAGTAAGACTTCCGAGTCTTACTCTTATTTCTTCTGATATTATGTCTCCCTAGTCCCTGAATTCTTGTCTTCTGAAATGTAAGCCTAAGCAAGTGCAGTTCACTTGTATGTGGGCTCTAAACTCAAACTGGGCTTTTGGCACCGGCCTTTTACCTTACTTTTCTAGCCTAGAGAGACTCTTTCAGCGATGTTACTAACTGCTGGTCAGTATACAAGCCTATTCTTCTTCTTCTTAGGGTGCCTGTCCGTTCCGAACGTTGGCGATCATTCTGGCTATGATGATTTTATTGGTTGCTATACGAAATAGCTGTGTTGAGGTCTTTCTATACCATGCTCTCGGGTTAGCAAGCCAGTATATTCTTCTTCGTCCTGGAGCTCTTTTTCCTTCAATTTTACCCTGCAAAATACATTGGAGTAGCTCGCATCTGCCATGATTTCTCATTATATATCCCAAGTACTCCAGCTTACGGCTCTTCACAATGTTGACCAAGTCCGCGGTTGTGTTCATCCTCCGCAGTACTTCTTCATTGATGACTTTAGACAATGTGACATTTATAAGCCTATAATTCTGTGAAAATGTGATTTTTTTTGGTTTATATATTATGATCACTCATGAGCTTTGATACATTTTTGCTTTATACTTTTATGTTTATAGTTGTAATAAAATTAGGATTGGATGCAGTTCTTAGTGCCATATCTTCCACAAAAATTTTAATTCCATCCGCTAATATTTCCATTCCAGAGAATTTGCAGGATATTATGTAAGTATGTATTATGTACTATTAGAACACGTATTTTTGCTCGCATAAGTAGATCTGTAACATTTTATACATATATACCAATATATATTACGATACAAAATTTTTTTTTTAATTTCATTTAATTCATAAAGCAGTAACTTTTATGCGACCCCCGATTTTCTATCTTTTAAAATGTGAAATATATGTATAAATAGTGTTCAACACTGAGGTTAGTTCAATATTCCCATCATGTGTGAGTGTTGGTTTATTCAGTCTTTGAACACGAAAATACACTATACGTATTTGTTTACAATACGAATCTTCTTCTTCTTCTTTTTATATATACATGATTCTGTCTGTTTTTCAATGTACCTCCAGTAAGTTGTCATTCCATCGTATTCGTGGTCTTCCTGATCGTCTTCCTATTGAGAAACTGTCTCTTGCCGTCTTTACTATTCTATTTGTTGTCATTTGGGTTATGTGATCGTTCCATTCTACTCTTCTATTTCTTACCCAGTTTTTGATGTCTTCCATCTTGTATCTATGTCATTATATCTGTACTTCTAGCTCTGTCCCATAGTGTCTTACCATCAAGTGTTTTATCTCTGCTGTTTCTAACATCCTTTTTGTCCTGTCTGTGTCAGGTATTGTTTCTGTCGCGTATGACAATAGGAATCGTAAGAAGTAATTTACACAAATTAATAATTGACAAGAAGTTTGCTAAACGGGCATAAGAGGAAAGTGTAATTCTTTACTGATATTTGGCTATATATGTATTTTGGTGATTGGTAGAGAGGAAGACATTTCAGCATACATTGACGTTTGATCTCTGACGTCATGCCAATTGGTATTTGAGCGTGTGATGCATTAAATGAGAGTAGAGAGGATAGCGAACATATTGAGATAAAAAACAAACGAGGCGACTACCAAAAAGACACTATACAGCATCTTCGTATTAATAAGCGTATAGTTACAAACAAGATATTAGATGGTTATAATTTTACTTTGTATTCTTTATCCCATATTTCTAATACAGCTCTAGTAGCTATCGTCACCAATTTTTCTTCTTTTCAATATTTTTGTTGTTGTTTATGTTCCAGTAAGAATGATCCAAACAACCATGCCTATATCTCTTCATCTCATTCATGTAATTCATTTTGTGTACCCTAAATTATCTTTCCCCATTGTTTGATGTGCTACATTGTCACATTGTCGTAATAGCAGTGAATGTTTGAAGTTTGAAATGATATAAGCCATGCTTTAGTTTTCAGATAATTACTGTTTAAATGTAAATAAGCCACAATTAAAGGTTAAAGTAAGTTTTAATTTCCACTTCGGAAATCGTTTTCAAAATACAAACATTAGTAAAATGTTTTCAGAATATCAAAAAAACAAGACTTTAGACTTTGAGATAAATGCAAATAACAATTTCTTTAGCACTATTATTTTTACTAACGAAGCCACTTTTACACGTCGAGGCGTGTGAAATTGTCTCAATTGGGATAACTAAAATCCACATGCCGTCAGAGACGTACACTTTTAACATGAATTGAGAATAAATATTTGGTGTAAAATTTTTAGAGATAATTTAATAGGTACCTTTGAATTACCTGCAGATTTCAACCGCAATTCGTGTTTGGCACTTCTTCAAAATATCCTTTTTAATGAACTGGAAAAGTTATCATTAAAGCAAAGAGAAGGTATGTGGTTTATGCAAGATGGCGCCCAACAACATTTTGCCTTGGTGTTGTAAGATTATTTGAACAATCAGTTTCTCCATAAATAGATAGGGCAAGAAGTGAGTGTCCATGGCCTGTTCTTATGAAGTCTCCTTGGAGTCCTGATTTTAATCCCTTTCTGATTTTTATTTTTGGGGAAATATAGACATTTGTGTATGCTGAAGAAATTAATATCCAACAAGACTTATGGCAACAAATAGACCTAGACAGCAGAGGTCGCCGTATAATAAACAATATCTATTACGAACAAACTGCATCTGTTAAGTTGGGGATCAGTTAACAGACGACATAAAGATAAAAAGAGGTGTGCGACAGGGATTTATATAGTTCAATACATATTCAGAGCACATTATGAACCTAGCTCTAACGGACATAGACGAGGGAATACTTATAAATAGAGAACGATTGAACAACATAAGATACGCTGATGATACTGTCATTTTTGCTGACAGACTTGAAGGTCTGCAGACACTTGTCTCCAGGGTGGCAGAAGTAAGTAGCAGGTTTGGGCTTGATTTTAACATCAAAAAAACCAAATACATGGTTATAAGCTAAAATAGGATACCACCTGGTCAATTACTAGTTAACCAACAACCTATAACACAAACCACCAAATTTTGTTATCTGGGTACAAACTTAAATGAACAGTGGGAACAATCGATGGAAATTAAGATAAGGATCGAGAGGACAAGATCAGCTTTCGTCAAAATGAAAAAAAAAATCTTTAACAGCCACGATATAAAATTAGAAATAAAAGTTCGTTTACTAAAATGCTACCTATTCCTCGTTCTTTTATATGGCGTGGAGTCATAGACCTTAACTTAAGCATCACTGAAGAGACTCGAAGCATTTGAGATGTGGTACTCTAAACGCATGTTGAGGATTTCCTGGATAGACAGAGTTACCAACGAAGAAGTACTACATAGAATGGGTAAAGAGCGCGAACTAGTCATAACCACAAAACATCGCTAACTGGAATACATGGGCCATATAATGCACAATCAACAACGATATGACCTACTTCGGACCATACTTCAAGGCAAAGTGCATGGGAAAAAAGTCCAGGACGAAAAAGAATATCCTGCCTGCATAACCTGCGAAAATGGTTTAACTTAACCACTACCGGAGTTTTCAGGGCACCAGTCAACAAAGTCAGAAAAGCCATATTCGTGTCCAACATCCGTAACGGATAAGCTCCATAAGAAGAAGAACTTGAAAACTACTTACTTGAACGCATTGAAACACAAGGATAACATTTACGTAAAAAGTATGTAACGAAGAATCAAAAATACATGCTGAAATGATTATTACGACAGTGACGTAGATTGTGAGGGAAAAAAGTATCTGTCCCTACAACACGCCTCTGGTAACAGCGGAAGACTATCTTTTAACACTAGTTAAAGTATCCCAACATGTGTAAACTGTTTGTCAAGTGAAAACTAAAAATATTGGAAGGTTTTAAAACAATGGACTAAAATAATTTTAGAATATTTGTAATAAAACACTTTATTTCTTGGTAAGGAGGAATACATAGTTTATTATGTTTTAGGTTAAATCTTTGTATTTTGTGCTCTAGTTACTATATGGACAATTCTTAATGAAACACCCAGTATATAAATACAATTTTTTTAATTTCACTAAATTTTTTCATGTATTTATTAATCTAATTTGGTTTTTTAAGAATTGGTGACTTAAATTTAATCCAATTCAATGTATATGGATTAGACACTTTCAAATACAAAGATGAGGTAACCGAATTGAAAACGGATAGAAAGTCATTTACAAGGAACAGAATTTCTGTTAATACAACTCTCGATAAAGTTGGATTCGAAACTGAGTATGTTTTGGATATGAGTTTACTAGATGCTGTTCCACTGTACGGGAACGGAACATTTAGGTAAGTAGGTGTATATTATGAAAATGTACCAACTTCGGTGCTTTATTTTAAGAATTAGTCTTTGGTTATATTTTTAATTTAATTCTTATTCAGATTTAGTCTTTGTAGTTAAAAAAAACTTAGGTTTAATCATAATACGGGTTAGATACATTCAAGGTCATCATCAACCAGCCTTAAAATTCCACTGCTAAACAAAGGCCTCCTCCTCGTGTTTCCAATCCCGTCTATCTTGCGCAATTCTCATCCAGTTTTTATTGTTTTTTCTTAAATCATCAGTCTATCCGTCATATAGGTCAGGGGTCACCAATTATATTCCCTGAAAGTCCGTTTCAAAAAACTCTCCGCTTTTTGTATGAGATTATGGTTTTTCAGAAACATGTAATTTCTGTTCATCTCCTTTTTTACTGCCCTGCATTCAGTACCATACATCATAGCTGGTCTAAAGGCAGTCCTATACAATTTAACTTTTAGTTTTTTTTGTACCTTTTTTATCATACATCACTAAATTTGCCTCTTTCCTTTACCTTTAATTGAAATATTAGAGAAAAAACGGTAATACCAATCCTAAAAGCCGAACATTATCATCTTTTATGAGTTCTTGTCTATTCAAGCCAACTACTCTATCTGGTCTTGGAATTTCATCTTTAAAAGAATATTCTAAATATTTTGTTTGTATCCAACTTAATTTTAATCATTTTGCTTCAAGGACCTGTCTCCGCTACTCTTTTCTACTAATACCCAGGAGGTTCAGTTGATATCTAATCCAGCACAAATGAGAATAAATATGGGCGAAACCCTGATTTTCACCCATTTTTACACAAAATTTGCCAGTTTCACCTGTAATCGTTCTAACACTATAATAGTTGTTTTAACACTATTATAGTTGTTACTTGCTCATACTCCACTCACATATTCAGCCGGCACTCCTTTCCTACTTAATCTCTGCCACAGTAGGTTTCTGATATCTTCATCATGTGCTTTCTCAAGTTTAATAATACAATGTAAATTCACTCTAAATTGTTAAATTAGCTCTTTTAATAAAATTGCTTGTTGCAGACCTGCCTTGCCTAAATCCAAATTAACATTTATCCATTTTCATTTTTTAGAACCTTACACTGAATTCTGTTAGATTTTACCACAAATGTAGGATAATAAAAAAAAATATTGTGAATTGAGTGCTATGAAAAATTGTCATTGTCAACAAAATGAAGCATAGGTTTACTGGAAATAACGATTGCAAACCAAATAAAACACTAAATAGCTATATCTAAAATATTTTTACTCTTTATTAAAAATCTGGGAAATCAAAGGAGGGGGGGGCTGTTATTGGTGCAATGGCGAAGGAAAACCCCTCTAAAGCTCTCCTAAATTGTATAGGACTGCCTTTAGACTAGCTATGATGTATGGTACTTGAATGTAGGGCAGTAAAAAAGGGGATGAACAGAAATTACATGTTTCTGAAAAACCATAATCTCATACAAAAAGCGGAGAGGTACTTAGTCCCTGGAAGAGAACCGAAAAGTTTAGAGGAAAATAATTAGAGAAGCCGATTCCACATAGAGAAAGCTAATGAGAATAATAATGGTAACGAATGTTCTAGAAATCAAAATAATAAGAGGAACCTCTAAATCTTAATAAAAAATTACCTAAACAAAAAAATTAAAACAATATCTATATATCTAATAAAAAAAAGCATCACTAGCATATCAAAATTAAATAAACACAATGTCAGAATTTAATTTTACCTACATAATGTCAAAAGAAAAATAAATTTTAATTTCTAATAAAACTGTACTAGTCAGCTTAATCCTAAATTGTGAATATCATTCGCTTTGTGCCACAATACCTCAATTTTATTGTCATTTTAATAAACATGAAACCCGCCAATTTTTAAATTGGAACCCACCCACCAACCAATCACGCGAAAGTTAGGGAGCGCATTATAATGTAGTTTCAGGTAGACTATCCAGGTACCCCCCAAAAATTACAAGCTGTGCTGTATCTGTAATATCGCATGACTCATCCAATGCCTAACGTTTTGTGTGTTTCATCTGCCAATACCTGTGTATTCATTGTGCTTGAAGTAGTAGATATTGGAATAAGCTGAATAGTATCGACAACAGCCTTATTTTTATTTTCAAATAATGAATTTTCTGATTAAAGAAAACACCCTTTAATGATAGCCGCGTCAATAAATGGCTTCATATGTCCGGTAAGCGCCCAGGAAATGCGTAAAGAAAACATTTTTCTTGGTCGGTCATTGATCGCTTAATAATTTCCGTAGATGTAGCGTAATTTGAAAGTAAACTCTTAAGTTTTTAATTTTAATTTTTTTTTTAAGTTTTAAAACTATTTTTTTAGTATTGTTCTGAACCTATTTTCTTGTGGCATTGTAAATTAATTACTATTAAACTGGGAATAAGCCACAATTAAAGATAAAATACGTTTATTATCTATTTTTTTAGGTTAGAAATCACAAAAGTAGGATTGGATCTTAATCTAAATCTATACGATAAATTTGCAAGCAATATAAGTGTAGAGGATTTCGATTTTAGATTTTCCCTACGTGACTCCTCAAACGTAAGTAGCTTTATCTCGAATTATGAAATTTCACCAAACACATACACATTATCATAAAATTATTTTACTTTTATCAATTTACATCAATTGACGCCACACCTAGACTTCCCCTTATTATGTTCATTATTTTCCTTTTTCGTCACTCCATTCATCCATCTATATTCCTTCCTTCCATCGATATACCTATTTTGTTTTTTGTTTTCTTGCTTTGCGAGACATGCCAGTACAGGCCGTTATGGATGTAGGTCATTCTTTTCAGTTGTACAGGAAAAAATGTTTTCTATGTTGTCAGTAACTGGCTGTTGTCAACAACTAGGCCTCATTAGCTTGCAAAAGACAGCCACTACCATTGTCGAGTTTATGTGTTTTAAATAAGGCTTTTCGTCCCACCCTAGGCTTTTTTTCTTACATAAAAGGTGTCACTGACAAAATCGACAAAATTCTAAAATCAACAGAAATAAAGATAATATTTACCCCCCAACAAAAATTTTCATCTCTTGTCCGATCAATTAAAGAAAACATTCCAAATGAACATCACAGAGTTTATGAAATTCCTTCTTTAGACTGCCTTCGATCCTATATAGACCAAACAAATAGTAGAATTCAAAATATGATTTATGAACATTTCATTTCTGTTCATGTTCGCACCAATCCCCACGCAAACCTCCACCCAAACCACATCACCATCGACTGTATAAATTAACGGTCCCCTGTTCCCAGTAGCAGAGTATCTTAAAGATCTGTGTCCGTCCTTTTTTCTTCATATTTTTATAGTTTCTTTTTTTTAATTTTTTCTTGTACTAGTTTAACTACCACCAAACCTTCTTATTCTCAAACATTTTTGCTGAAGATTTTCTAAGCATATCAAAGGTTGTGGTATAATACTAATCATATTTCACTAACTCGTATTACCTTTCGTTTATATTACAATTAATTTGTTGGTATCCTTTAACTCTCTGATCTATTACCTTGCATTGATTACATTTACGTATATCGTGTTTTCTTGTTACGAAATAATCTATTTGTAAGTGATTTTTCCACTTTTGTATGGGATTAGTTGACTTCCGCACTTTCAAAAGAATGAATTATCAATCGCCATATCTAAGGCTGTTGTTAATTCTAACATATCAACTCCAGAATCACTTTTAAGTCCTCCCAAGACATCTTAGTTCCAAAGCCCATTTCATATTGTCCAAATGTATAAAGCGGATGAAACAAAATGACGCAGCTAGAAAAATGGTTTTTTATAGACCCATTGATTAGAGAAGTAGAGAAAGACCTAGAAAAAGTTTCCGTGATATTTTCGATGAAAACATAAGAACTATGAGAATACGTGCTTGGTGAAGAAAGGCAATGGATAGGGATGACTGGAGAGAAATTTTTGAGAAGGCTAGAACCCATGAGGGGTTGAAAAGCCAGCGTGATGATGGAGCTTACTGAGCCGTGTTTTAAAAACCTGTTTAAAATAATTAATGTTCAAATATAAAAAATGTGAAATGGACTTAGATGAAGCACAGTTTGGTTTTAGAGGAATAATAAGAACTAGAGAAGCCATATTTGGGTTATGTGCTATATTATAAGAATGTAGAGAGCAGCAAAAAGATGTAGATGTCTGTTTCAAAAGGGTAATACAATTGTGCAAATCAAACCCGACCTGGACGAAGTTTATGATGAGGTTGCACCTGTGTTAGCAACAGTAAAATTTTGGAAAGCTGAATTTGTTCGTGGTCGTATGAGTGTTTTTGATGATGAGCGTCCTGGGAGCTTAAGTGAAGTCACCACGCCTGAAATAATCAACAACGTCCATGACATGATTATGGCAGATCGTCGAATTAAGTCCCGCGAGTTATTAGAGGTCCTAAACATTTCCTACGAATGCGTACATAACATCATTCACCATCATTTGGACATGAAAAAGCTATCTGTGCGATGGGTGTAGCGTTGACTGACAATCGATCAAATGCAACAAGGTGTGACCACTTCGGTCACACCTTTTTGACTACCTGGACGACCATCGACTACTTGGAAAAATGAAAAACAATCAATGTTGAGTACTACGCAGCATTATTACACAAAAAGGGCCGAAAATATTTTTGTCTGTGTGATAATTTAATAAAATTTTCTAATCTTTTCTTTCTTGTTTTAGTCAGAACTAACCGGCTTTTGGAACAATGTACAAGTTAGCGCCTTAATCACTAATGTTATAAATATTGTTGAGCCGTTTGTTTGTATGTGGTACGACTATGAACGAGAATGCCTAGATTGCGTTATCAGCAAACTTGCCCAGTTTGTAATAAATACTTTAGTGCTCAAAGCTAATACTGACGAAGACTTCATTAAATGCGAATGTTTAGGGGTAAGTACGACAGTATTTAGAATCGATATGAGCTTGGATCCTTGGATACTAATTTATCAACTTTTTTTTATAAACTATCTCTGTATTTAAATTTACTAGAAAACTATATATAATATAGTTCCATATTTTCATTTATTTCATATAATTTTCTACATATTAATTCATTTTTAATTCAGGTTAGTTTTCATTTGTGCCAGATTTAAATCTAGTATCGTAACCTAGGATTATCAGGGTTTATTAGTAAACTAATAATATTAGCTATGTATACTTCATTAAATTAAATTTTTATAAATAATGGAAAGCAGTAGAAAACGACTTCATTTCAGTTATAAAGATGATATGTTTTTGTTTAAGGAAGTCGTAAGCCAGAACCCTTACGATCATGCAGATAGGTGAAATTTAATCCAAGAGCGAAAAAGATTTTTACATTGTATATTATCAGCCATGGTATCTAAATTAAAGCGGCCGTATAGTCGTGTAAGATGTGGAGAAGAAGCGGATTTTCTTCTGTCTTCTTCGTCATCCTGCATTAATTGTTGTTTAAAATTGTTTAAAAAATATTTGTTATTTATTTTGAATATCAAAAATGGTGTTAAGTGACAAGGACAAGACAGGCACTGGCAACTTACTAGTTTATCACTAATTCGATGAGGGCAACACAATTGTTACGTTACGTCCAAAACTTTAACTCTCAATTTAACGTGCATCCTCTTCGATACGTTAGTTCTTTACGTATAGGGAAATACGTTACGTTAGGTAGTAACAAAAACTCCCTACTGTAACATAAATGGAGAGAAGCGCAGTCATTTGAGATTTGCAGCTGACATCGTCTTTATAGCTGATCGTATGGATGATGCAATAATAATGTTTGAAATATTATATCACGTTTTCTTTGAGGTCGGACACCAAATAATAATTTGGTGCTAAATCGAAATATTGCTGTTGATGGAAGGAATATTGTACAGACTGTATCATATACGTACTTTGGACATGAAATTCGGTTGGGCCGAGATAACTAGACATGTGAGCTTCCACGACACATAAGATTAGCCTGAGAGGGTTTGGTAAGTTGAACTATGTATTTAATCTGACCTACCCATATGCTTAAAAAGAAAAATGTTTGACCAATCTATCTTATCTGTATTCACCTATGGAATGGAAACACTAACATTTACAAAAAAAAGGTAGTTAATAAAATTCGCATGACTCAGACGGCTATGAAGCTCCAGAAGTTGGGTATCTCTCAGAGAGACCAAATCCCAAAAAAAATACGTCGTGGAACAAAAACAACAAAACGTATTGTTGAGTGAAGATCAAGACAAGAAGTACTGCGTAGCAGAGGACGTCCAACAACCAGATGGACAGACGACCTAAAGCATGTTAGCAGTAACTGGATGCAAGCAACACAAGATAGAGGCAGATGGAAAGAGCTGAGAGACACCTATGTCCAGCAGTAGACTCATATGTTATATAAAGTGATAGTAATTATTACTGTAAATGAGAAAGACCAAACCCTCACGCCGGGGGGGGGGGGGGGGGGGATCACCCACAACCACACCCAACCACCAGGCCGCATACCCCTATAACCAACCCCCCAACCACAACCACCTCTATATCTTGGGGGGAACTGAAGTAGCTTCTTTTATATAGTGGAGTGTTAGTTGTAGAGAAGCGAGCGTGAGACTAGTGTACGATCAAACTGGTCACACTCAGAACTCACTCACTCTCTCATTAACAAAAAATGTTAAGAGAAAATCGAGGAAATTACTATGATGATTATTTTGGTTAAAGGAAATTGGAAAGTTACGAAAGGTATCGAAATAAAAAAAAAAACAATTTTTGGACCTATCCCACCACAATCCCCTTAACCAATGGGAGGAGAGGGGGCTACCCCATAAGTCTTAATTAATTGAAGATATAATATAAATAGAAGTTATTCAAGGAAATTAGATCATGATAAGGATTTATTTACACAATTTTCACTATCTAAGATTTAAGATGGAGGAATTTTTGGTGGTGGGGTGAGGAGTGTTTATGGCTCGCTCTGGGTACATATCATTACGGGATTAAGGGATAGGGTAAACTGATAGTTGAGTGTGAGAGGAGAGTGATGAGTCGCATCTATCTCATATATCTCTACACACAAAAAACACACGAACTACACAACCTTGTACAATCATTAACTAAAATAGTATACATATAATTAAACTAATAATCTTCAGCCTCTCAGTCACATCAATAAATAAACACAAATATACAAAGGCGAGGCGGGGGTTGGGGGGGGGGGTGTGAGGTGGTATTTATGAGAGGTAAGTAATGAGGGTGGAAAGAATTTGGGGTATGGTTTGTAAATGTTTGGGGTAGAGGTGAGTTTAGGGTGGTGTATGTGATAGTAAGGTTGTGTGTTATTATTGAGTTGTGGATTGATAGTTAGGAGTGTTATGGTTTTATTGAAGTTTAGGGTTGTATATTAATTGTTAGATTTGTTTGTTGAAATGGTGAGATGGGGTTTGTTATTGATGGAAGTGGGAATATATTTTTATGTTAAGATTATGTATATATGGGTTGTTGGGATAAGGTGTAAAGGGGTTGGTTTTGTGATAGTGCCGTATAAAGAGTTCAACGGAGCAATCCCACTAAGCAGATCACCAAAAATAAACTCTTAAATAATTCCGTAGGAATATTGGACAAATTGCGAAGAACATTCTAGGAGTTAGAAGTAGAAAAGTAATCAAAGGAGCTGACGAAATAATGCTAAATACTTCAGGACACTAACAACATGAACAATAAAATAAAAACTCTCCATTTATTCAGAGCGCTAATGGAGACACAGAGTTGGTAAACAATCGGAAATTGATTACACTTTTTTAAGCATTCAGAGAAGACGTTTTACAGAATATTTAATTCCATTGTAGGAAATCAAAGTAAACCGTACTTAAACCAAAAATAAATTCATGGGATTTGGGGAAATCAACTTTCAAAGCTGGCTATTTTAAACACCAATGCTGGATAATTTGAAGACACGAAGAACAACTGTCAATACTACAGTAATATTCCTTACGAACCCTTTAACACTAAAGAGGTCTCGAATATTATCAAAGAGCTTCATAACTGGAAGTCTCCTGGACTAGACTTAGTTCAAAACTTCTCACTAAAGAAGGTTTGGAGTATTCATGCGTATTTATGAATATTCATTATTGATCTTTTTTTTCTAATCCACAGGAAATATCATCATTTCTTACTTAGGGAACCACTTATTCACTACCAAAGGAACAAAATACTACCCAAGATCTAGCCAAGTGCAGCCTAATTACTTGTCTTCCAACTTTGTACATATTGGTCAAATTCTGTCTCGCCCAGGGTATCTACCAACTTTGTGCTCTAATTAATATCCTAGAGCCAGAACAGCCAAAAACAGTAAGCTTCACGGGCTGCAAAGAATAACTTAACATCGACTTAGTCATTTCTAACCAGGCTGACACCAAAAAAAAAGAACCTTTTTACTGCCATAATTGACTACAAGAAGGGCTATCATTCAGTCCGCATGAATAGCTTATAGGTATATTGAGAATACTAGTATATGTCGACGATAATATAGTGGCCTGTTTAAAGGATATAATGACAGACTAGAAGTAGCATTAATTCATTTTTGTTCTATCCTTTAACAGTGATAATGATATAATTATGATGGCACTACTCTAATCAAATAAACTATAAATTGTAATGTCAGTGTAGGCATTTTGTACCAGTCTACGTTTTGTGAAACTAACTGTATCTGATAGATTTCTTTTTTGTTGTTCATCAAAGCCTTAATTTTGTGACCACGATTTTAGGTATCCTTTTTTTTTGCTTTTTTTTTCTCGTACCGGTACTTTTGCTGTATTACTGTCTTCCATGTTTTTATTTTTGCATTTTTTCTATGTTTACTTTTGTAGCGAATCTTTAAAGGTAAATTGTACTGTTTTTTCTCTTTGTAAATTATGTTTGGTCTTAAACAACTTTTGTTTTGTTGTTTCCCAGATGAAATAAATATAGTGGTGTTCACGATATAGTACTCTGATCCATACTTAGTCAGATCCTCTGTATAATAAAATTAATTTATCAATAATAATATGGTCATTAGGTGTAAAATGTACTAATATTATATTAGTTATGTATAAAAAACTTCCTCTTTCATTAATCTTTTTTCTTTTTAGGATTTATTATTTTTAACAAAGATTCACATGCCTTCCCTAGTTGAATCTTGGGAAACAGGAGACTACAGTTACATAAAACATCAATTAATACGAAATCCCGATGTAAAGAAAGTTTATAATAAAATGTATAACATCGTTTCCAAAATAGTGGTGGAGAAGTTGAGGAAATGTAATTTACAACGTAATGTATTTCAATATCATAATTTGAATAAAACCAATTGATGTGTATACTATGTTTTATTTATAAAGTTTTTAACCTCGGAAACCTTTTTGGATGGTGCTAGAAAGGTCACCAATGGAGACACTGCGAACGGCAGCTAGATGGTTGGTGGAGAGCGGATCGGGGGTTCGAAACTGACTTTTAGAACCGGGAATGGATCCAACAGAAGAAATAATAAAGATAAGATGAGCTAAGGTAGATAAGAGAATACAGAGAAATAGATAACAAGAGAGACAGGTAAAATTACCAACGATATGAGAAGATGAGAAAAAACGGCGCCACTAAACTTTTTGTTGTTACAAGGGAAACATTAAAAAATTAAAAAATCTGAGGAGAGATAATTAGTTTCTGAGACTAAATAGAAGAAGATATATTAACAGTTAATTATTAAATGGTGGCCAACACACTACATAAACAAATAATAAATACCATGTTCGGTGGAATTCGTCCACCTAGTTACCTACAAACATATCCTGCCTGATCTTTCTCCTGGTCGAAGATATCGTGATAGTTAAATATTTTATTGGCAAAATATACAGAGATATTCTATTATTAGGAAACTTATTAGGAGTAGATAAATAAAATTCAGTAGGTAAACAAAACTAAATATATTCAATAACTGAATCATCAGGCGGGTGAATTCCAAAAACAAGAAATACAAAAAAATCTACCGTAAGATGTAAAAAAATGTAAAATCTTTCAATATAATAGACATAGACACATGCATATATAAAGAAAATATAACATTAAGGAGAACTTGATGTTTTAAACAATTTTCCAAAAGAGATTATATAAATATCTCTCCTTAATATTTTTTTTATCTCGACATAATTTGCTTTAAATGTGATAATTTATAGCAAGTACAAAATAATACTAAATTAATTTACAATAATGTTGAAGAAGTACACAGACAATATTATAAAAGTCGGTTTTACCAAAATTAAAAGAAAGACCAACGCGCACTTAGAGGAACTGATTGTATCGGTAGTTAACTTTAACCACCGATAAGGAAAATGTTGTCGAAAATAGCCTGTAGATTACTTTACTTTGGAGATAATTGGAGTTAATATTAATAGTAAGACCACAGTAACTCTAGATGATGTTGCCTTTTAAATCGCACTGAATTTAAACTCTACTCAACTTTAGTTGAGATCAAACACTGAAGTTATCAAACTACGTAAGATACAATAGAATTGTATCTATACACTTACAGATAAATTCCTATTGAAAGAAATAGGTCCAAACCCTTAGACGTCACAATCAAAAGTCCGTCTAATATCTTACAAGACTACTCAACGAAAAGTGATCCTTTTTTTCTCAAATTGGACAAACTATCCCCTAGAACAGGATCATCCCCACTTAAAGAACTCCCTCTTACCAAGAACCGAATTATTTTCATTTTCGGCGTAAATACATAAACATAACGGTATTGTTGTTTATGTGTATGTAAAAAGCAAAGCAAAAGGCAAAAAACTGTACCATATTGAGGGACTCTTTAAATTAAAACTATTTGTAAGAACAAGAAGTTTAACAAATTTTATTACTCTCTTCCTATCGCTATAAAAAAGGGGCCTAAATGTTCTTTGTTTTTAAAAAAAATGACGAGTGCTCTCAAATTTCTAACAAGGTCCCATCAAGTAATCTGCATGTTTTGGTACTTCTTTTAAGAAATAAAATAGCTGAAAGATATCGGAACAATTAGGTCTATAAATATAAAAAAATCTAAACTACCGTTACCTTCTCATAAAAGACTATATTGGCATCTCTCATTCGTTTCAAAATGGAGATTTTTGGGTTACGGCCATTGAAGTAGTTGTAGTAATTGCAAAAAGTTTTTAAAATTTTAAAACTAATCTTAAAGTAATATATAATAATTAGTTACTAATCTAATTAGTAGGTAAATACTAAAAAAAAATGTTACAAGGTTTATCTTGTTCAGTAATATATTAATGGTATACCTAATATGAAACAAAATAAAACTATTGATATTATCTGTAAATGAGACGAGACAGGAATTTTGGTCTCATAATTTGCATTTATCTTTATCTGATCCTAATCACCTAACTCAAAGTAAAAGATATATTGTTTAAAACAACTCATCACCCAGCCCTTTGCGTCCACTGCTGGACATAGGGCTCCCTCATTTTTGTCCATTGATTCGGGCGACGTGTCCGGCCCAGTTTCATTTTAGTGTGGCAATTCGGGAAATTACATCGAATGCAATGTAATTTCATATAACGATAATTACGAAGAACAGGAGTTACCGATGTTTAAACAACTATAACAGAAATATTTGCAGTATTTTGGATACATTGCCAGAAGAACAGGTACGATGGAAAAACTATTAATCGAGGGCAGAGTTGAAGGAAAAAGACCTAGAACCTGAGAACAGCTCCAAGCTGTTGGGTGGATCAATTAAAAATACTGACTAACCGAGAGTTACAGGAAGCCAAACAACTAGCAGCGGACACATAAGGATGGAAGGAAATTATTAAAAAATTATAAAAAGTTAATGATGTCACTACATCCCTAAAAGGGATTTGGACTGAGGAAAATGATCCTAATTTCATACATCTTGGATTAAGTTTGTTAATTTGCGCCAGAAAAGTCATCGCCCTTCTCAGCTTTTGTTAGTCTCGCTACATTAGAATATCTTCTTCTTCAAGTGCCATCTTCGTTCCAAGGTTAGGTGATCATCAGGGCTATACGTATTTTCGAAACTGCTGACCGAAACAATTCGTTGTTGCTACAGCTTTACCATTCCCGTAGATTCTTTAGCCAGGAGTTTCGTCCTCTTCCTATGGACCTTTTTCCTGCTATTTTCCCTTGCATAATTATTAGAAGCAGTTCATATCTTTCGCCTCTTGTAATGTGTCCCAAGTATTAGAATATACTATTTGTGAAATAAACAACAAAAATCTGCGATTAACTGATTTAAGAAAACTTTCATTATTTCCCAGGATCATTATTACCTTCGTAACGTTTTTCTTAGCATATTTAATGGTAGTGAAAAACAGTAGACTTTATTTAGATCAAGTAAGTAGTTGAATATTTTTTGTGTTTGTAATTTAGTGTTTAAAATGTACTTTAACTCTTAACTCAATCTCGGAGATCCTTAGTATCACAATATTTTTAACTTTGATAACCCTGTTTTAGTCCAGTCGTCTAGTATCAAAAACAGTGAGATACGAAATTATTGCAAATGCGATTTCTTACATTTTTTTCATGCTGTCTCTAATTAATTAAGAAGCTTAATTCTCTAATTATCTCATTTATTATTAAATTTACGACATGAATATTCTTAAACAAAAATGTAGAGAATTATATTTTATACAATTTTGCTCTCTTTAATGTTTTTGCTGAAATTAATATTTAAGATGACGACTGACGTAACGAAGGAATTCAGTTGCGAATTTAAATATACTACTATTGATCTCCCTAAAAGTTAAAATAATAAAATGTAGGCAACTTGCCATGCAAGGTCAAATGCTATTCCCACTGGACTATTTGAGCTGTGAATATTCTATTCTACGTAATGCACGTAACAACGACTAGTATTTATTCTGTCTTAATGGTAATAATTTTAAAAATGCCTTTACTCCAAACAGTTAAGTGAAGACAAACGTTTTGAGCAAAGACTTATTCAATGGTGTTTGGAGAACGACGATGAACCTGATGAGAAGTAGGATGTTGATGACTCGAATATCGATCCGGACTATGCACAAAGTTTTAAAGAGCAGCAGTTATCACAAGAAGTCGAAATAAATGCAAGAATGGCAGTAGTGTTCTACTGATTGGTTAACTTAACAACTGAGCTACTACGGCAAATAATTGTAGTTTTTTATTAACGGAAACGGTAAGAAGGAATATAAATGTTAAAAAATGCATTGTCTACTATTTACAATATGACTATACAAATATAAGTTAGCTATTTACACATAGCTTAACAGGAAGATCTATTTTTAGATGCTACCTTCATGCTTGACTTCTGATTGGAGTTTTTCTTCTGGGAGATTGACTGTAGTGTTAGTTACTATCTATTTTTAATAAAGCATTTCCTCTATTAAACATCAGGCCAAAACATTACAAACCTTGGATTACCAAAGGCATTCGCATATCTGGGAAGAATATGCGTTCTCTGCTATATATTGAAAAATTTAATGACAGTATCCCCATCTCTGATTATATCAATAAGTACAGAAACAAAAAACAACAAGCTCCAAAAATATTTCAAAAGAAACTTGGTCAATAATAAACGATTTTCAAAATAAAACCAGTGCAGTAAGTCAAACCTTTTCTTTTCCTAACCCTGAAAATCTAAATGATTACTGAGTAAAAATATAACCTCAACTATTTCGCCACAACAAGATCCAGTTTCCCATCTCCCTAATTAAAAAAGCATTGCTGATACCTTCTTTTTAAGACCAGTTGCTAAGACTGAACTCATTCGAACAATTCGTAGTATAAAAAGCGAATCGTCCTGTAGTACAGACAGATTATCTATTAAAATTTTCTCAAATCTTCCGCATAATGTTTTGTAGGTCATGGTCTCGCTAGTAAGTAAATGATTCTCTTGAAAAAGGTACATTCCCTAACTGCCTAAAGACTGCCAGCGTTATTCCTCTTCATAAAGGTGGAGAAAAATCTGATGCCTGCAACTATAGACCTATTGCCTTGTACCAGAACTATCAAAAATTATTGAAAGGCTTATAAAAGTTCGACTTATGCCCTTTCTCCTTAAACATAATATTTTATCGCAAAATCAGTTCGGCTTTTTGTCTAATAAATGTACTAGTAATGCCATGTTTTCTGTGTTACATGGGGTATATCTATCACTAAATAGTAACCTCTCCTTCGCCACCGTTTTCTGCGACTATTCCAAAGCCTTTGACTGCGTAAATCACGACATTCTATTAAAAAAAATAACTTTCTATGAAATTTGGGGTATGTCTTTGAATTGGTTCAAAACTTACTTGGTAGGTACGAAACAATTGGTTAGAATAAAAGTCACCGACTCTAATTGTAAAGATATTGAGTG